TTTTTACCGACTTGGTAAAGTTGTCCGAAAAATTGACGTTTTCACACAATTGCACTCTTAGAAGAAACTTGAAACTTTCACAGTCTATATAAGATTGATGAGTCTCAAACCAATGAAAATTTCAATCAAATCGGAACAAGTGCTGATTTTTACCGACTTGGTAAAGTTGTCCGAAAAATTGACGTTTTCACACAATTGCACTTTTTGAAGAAACTTGAAACTTTCACAGTCTATCGAAGACTGATGCGTCTCAAACCCATGAAAATTTCCATCAAATCGGAACAACTGCTGATTTTTACCGACTTGGTAAAGTTGTCCGAAAAATTGACGTTTTCACACAATTGCACTTTTCGAAGAAACTTGAAACTTTCAGTCTATCGAAGACTGATGCGTCTCAAACCCATGAAAATTTTAATTAAATCTGAACAACTGCTGATTTTTACCGACTTGGTAAAGTTGTCCGAAAAATTGACGTTTTCACACAATTGCACGTTTCGAAGAAACTTGAAACTTTCACAGTCTATCGAAGACTGATGCGTCTCAAACCCATGAAAATTTCAATCAAATCGGAACAACTGCTGATTTTTACCGACTTGGTAAAGTTGTCCGAAAAATTGACGTTTTCACACAATTGCACGTTTCGAAGAAACTTGAAACTTTCACAGTCTATCGAAGACTGATGCGTCTCAAACCCATGAAAATTTCAATCAAATCGGAACAACTGCTGATTTTTACCGACTTGATAAAGTTGTCCGAAAAATTGACGTTTTCACACAATTGCACTCTTAGAAGAAACTTGAAACGTTCACAGTCTATAGAAGAGTGATGAGCCTCAAACAGATGCTTGTTTTATCCTCAATCAGAAGCTTTGCGAAGAACGACTCCCGGAACTGGAATTTTAACACCTGTTGTTGTATGCGTTTAGGCACAATTTTACAGCTTTTTAGGCATGCAAAAATATTCTACAAGTTCAGAGTCGTACGTTCAGTAAAGAGCAATGCGCTCTAAATGACATCAAAATGTCTTCAAACCTTCAAAAATTAATTGAAATTGCATCCTGAATTTTGCGCGGTTCGTAAATGTAGGTCTGTAAATTAACGCTTTTCCGCAACTGCAGACTCTTCAATAAAAAATTGGAAGTTCCAAATTAAATCCAGCAGAAACTTAAAAGATTGACTCTCATATTCAAATTTCGTGTGACTTTCTATGAGAAAAATCTACCCGAATTTACTCACACGCGTTGTTATAACTGTGTTTGTTAAAAAGCGAACTCTGTGTCTCAAATGGTACTTGAGCAAATTCGTAAAAGGGGCCGTCATGTTTCAGTCGATTTCGCATGAAAAAAAACAAGCAAAACTAAAATTCCATACCTTTTTTGACAAGAAAAAATAAAAGTAAATTCTATATTTGCATATCTAAAACGGTTCTTTAGAGCAAGCTTCAGATGAGCTTGATGTAAAAATTCAAAGTCGCCCAAAATATTCTCCCCAAGAAATTTTCAAACTTGGGGAATCAATGATTTAACTAACCATCGAATTAAATCCACACTACCAGCAAGCTGATGTTCCTTGTATTCAATATTGGCCCCAAATTTCCACATCTGAAGCGGCATTTAAACATACAAAGCCGCCCAAAATATTCCCAAAGTTTAACAATTTACTACCAAATAATAGCTCAATGGATATAAACTCTACGCTACGAGTCAGTTGATGAATATGGGACTAAAAGTTCTACATGTACATGACAACCAGGGTCAAAATAATGCTAAACTTACGGAAAGCTGCGTAGTGCCACCTGGAACAAAAAAGGAAATGTGTTTAGTACAGCAGGAAATCTGTCCAAAGCCAAACTTGTTTGAAATCAGCAAAGCAAAAATAGAGAAATACATATAAAGAATCCATAAAAATTCAGCTGATTGTCGGAAAACTAAACTCAGTTCAAGCTTAAAGATTTATATATTTTTTTTTCTGCAAGCTGGCGCCACATCCTTCATTTCTATCACGATGATTCTATATTTCCCGTTCACTGTCGGTAGCAAATTGAAAATTCATATATCTTTTCCAGAAAAAAAGACACCGAACTACAGAATAAACATCATCATTTAATTGTTCGCCTTTTCGATGATTCATTCTTTACTTGGTAGTTCGATTTCAGTTTGCGTATTGTTGACATTTTTAACAACAAGTACTTATCTGTTCGCACGGCAATATTTCCAAAGGAAAATCTCACGTTCCAACTTAACGAAAGTCAACAATAACTAAACGAAAAACACGCCAAACGCCGATCTTTCACTAATTTAATTTTAAATTTAGAGCTATATATTTGTCTGAATTTCATTCGGGTATATAATCGGACTTTTGTTAAGTTTTAACGTGAAATTTGCCTTTGGAAATATTGCAATGCGAACAGACACTCTCTACAAAAATGTCAACAATAAACAAACTGAAATCGAACTGCCAAGTAAAGCATGAATCATCGAAAGGGCGAACCTGCAAATGATTAAATAATCACGTTTATTCTGTAGTTCCATGCCTTTTTCTCGAAAAAATTAATGTTCAGTTTGCTACCGACAGTGGGTAAAATCGATCGATAATCGCATGCTTAGATGCGGAATTTAGAATCATTGTGGCCCTTATGGCAAGTGCGGTGATTTGTAAAAGTGTGGTGAACTTCTTGAAGATAGAAAATAAAGGATGCGGCCCCAGCTTGCAGAAAAAAAATGTAAATCTTTATGCTTGAACTGCGTTTAGTTTTCCGACAATCAACTGAAGTTTTGTGGATTATTTGTATTTCTCTCTCTGTGCTTTGCAAATTTCAAATAAGTTTGGCTTTGGACTTGGACAGATTTCCTGCTGTACTAAACATATTTTCTTCATTCTTTCCAGGTGGAACTACGCAGCTTTCGGTATGTTTAGCATTTCTTTGCCCCTGGTTGCCGTGTAGATGTAAAACTTTTAGTCTCATATTCATCAACACTTACTCGTAGGCTGGATTTGCTATTAGTTATTTCCAAGTTAATTTTAAAACTTTGGGTGGCTTAAGAGTATTTTGAGTTTCTGAGAAATTTTTATTCAAGAAACGCCATGCAAAAGATGTTTCGTGACAGTTTTTTCAAATGCTGCGCAAAATGTTCGTAACGATGAGTGAAGTTAGCGCATCAAGTCATGTCCGCATCACTGCGCGCCCACAACTGAAAATTCACTGAGGGGTTACCATGGCCAAAAAGTTGTAAAATTGCGCCCAAAGGCCTCAATCAACTTCGTTCTTTTTAAACGGTTTTCAACGTACCTACGTTTCGAATCGCTGGTTCAAAACCATACTGTGCATATTGTGCATAGTGCATATAGTGCTAGTGATATTGTGCGGATATAGTCGTTTTAATTCTAAACGCACAAATGCACCAAAGCAAGAGACAAAACTTCTCTGTTCCAAAGCAAACGCTCAAACCTGATTTAAAAACGTAACATGAAAAAGCCGTTAAATATAAATCAAATTCAAATGAGAGCTTATGCGACATCTGTGTGAATCTCGAGCAGTTTCCCTAGCTAGGAAGACTTGCTTTAATGATCTGGCTCTGCCCATTGCAAGCTAGATTTCACATTTAGATAATGATTTTGATAATAAATATTTTGGCAGCAAAGAACCAGTATAAATTTAAAAAATCGAAATTTATAACAGATATAGGTGAAATATGACAACGTTGAATACGGAGCATTGTCAGTAAGCTTCATTCTGTCCACAGATTCTGTCTTCTGGGAAAATAATGTTGAAATGCAAACAATAATAGAATTCCCTTAATAGTAATTTTCAAAAGAGAATTGTTGAACAATACTTTGTTGGGCCGAATTAGAGCGTTGCCTTCGCATTTAAAACGTAAGTCAGGGTTAGGAGTTGTTTAGTACACTTTCTAACCTTAAATGTATTTATTAGCAATGGGGGGCTGTCGGTGTTCCTACAAAAATTGCACAAACACGACGAAATCAGCAGAAATCAATTTCTTCCAGTACCCGGTAAAGCACAGATCTAGGTGCGTAAATTGGATCGAAAATTCCGAAAAGCCCGCCTTTTATGACCTGGAAGAAGATCAATTAAGAAACAAAGTAATTTGTGAATCGCACTTTGAAGAAAAATGGTTTCTCAACAGCCAAAGAAAGCGGTTATTGCATGGAGCAATCCCAACATTGGACGGTAATTCAAATCATGTCCGAGACACTGCATCTCCGAATTCCAGAGATGCTCCTGTTTATTTACCCTCTAACTCTAACCAGTACAGTGATGTGAAAGTAGTGCCTACCAACAATGATGGCACAGTCTTCGTGTTGGACACCGAAAATATGTTTACAATATCTCCGAAAATTGAGTCATACATTATTAAAAACGGAGTTCTGGTTCCCACCAATTCAAACAGTGCGGTAAAAAATACAACAGGTAGATTCATTAGGCAATCAACCTCGAATAGATTTACAAAACCATCCACCAGTACTGCAGGGTATGTAATGGGAGCAGAAACAGAAATTGCCAACATCAACACGCCGCCAGGCCCGTCAAAAACACTATTAAAGGAAAATTCGCACCAAAGCAATTTTTTAAAATCGGAAGTAGGAGAGGCTGAAACCGAGAATGGGGACTTCTTCAGTCATGAAGAACCATCTGAGAAAAAAATTGTTTCTGAGGACGTCAAGCACAAAGCGAAGCAAGGACATACTATTTCAAATAACCATGGACATTCGAAGAGTGCCGTTACAAAGAACTATTTACGGCAAATTAAAAAACATAGTCGAGACATCGCCACCATCAAACGAATGCTTAAACAGAAACGAATTGCTCAACAAGCTAAACCCTCTATTAAAAACATACTTGCTGAGCTGCAGCAGCACGTTCCATCGAGTTTATTTACAATTATAAGCTTGATTTTAGGTAAGTTATTATAGTGAAAAAAGGTTAAAGTATGAGTTCATTTGTGGTGTTTTCAGGCGAAAAAAATGATCTAAATGGCGAAGATATTGAATTCTTTACAACGCTTCACCGAGCCTCTCCGGAAGTTTACCAAATGCTTTCAGATAAATACAAGTGGAATTTACCCAGCATAGAGCTAGTAGTCGACACAACTGAACCATTCTAATTGAGAAATTGCTGATTATTGATAAGCTTCTTCTTCAGTCTTCTTTATTGTGTAATTGAATATATCAAATTTTTTATTTCTCTTAATTGTACAAGATCAGGGTTGAACTGATACAAATACAAGTGATTTGTAAGCTTAATTTTCGAAGTCCTCGGTTTGTGAAGAAAGTAACTTTTTTATTAACAGGTTGAACTCTCTGGTTGATTTGAATGCAATTTTTACGGTTTATTAAATCGCCAACTGGACCAGTTAATCAACCGCATGAATTTAATTTAAATGTCAATTTACAAAAATATGTGCCTCTAAAACGAAGCACACCTATGCTCATATGCCCCTAGGCTTTTATCATTTCAACTCTGAAACCCTATGTATACATAGTGTTAACAGTGCCGAGATTGGCGATAGTCTATCGATGGAAAAATTGAAGTCTAGATATATAGTCCAAATCTCTATCTACAGGTCAAACGATATTGTTTGTTTTTTATTAGCTACTTATATCTAGTCTTTTTATTATATAAATGATGAACTTCGAAATTGCCTACACCCCATCACAAATTGCATTTTCTCATATGGGTTGTACAGTTCCGAATGTATCGTTCAGATTGTTTATAATTGTCATCAAATTGAAGAAAATTAATTTTGTACCCATTGTTTTATGTAATAGATTAATCAAGAGGGAACACCATGTTTCCATTGTGATTACATAGGAAGTTTGTTCATTATTTCAAATCAATTTCACTAAACTGATCGTGACATGTTTGCTGTTTATTTCAAATACCAACATTTTTTAATAAAATTTAAAGAGGAATCTAGTCGAATTCTGACCCTATGGTGATGCTGATTTCTCCAGGAAGAACAACAGTTTGGTGGAACCATCGATTTGTATCCAGAGCAACTGTAATTTATAAACCATTTGTTTTAGAATTAACTCACACCGAAAATACTCAGATCAACTGACTTATTTCCCCTGGTTCCACTACTACTTCCACTTCCTTGCATTCGTAGTAGCATTCCGGAGGAGGTGCCAATTTCCACAATTTTCTTCCACTAAGCTGAGCTTGCCATGACGGATAATGGACATCATCTACCTAAGTATAAATACATGCTAAACCTCTCTACCTACTCAGAAGCTCCAAACTTGTGGGTTCGAAAAAAATACTTACATGCATGTGAGCTCCATGTCCCGGGCCCCCCATAAAAATCCAACTTAAATCAATATTTTCAGTCATGTTCGACAGAAAATATGGCTTACTGTAGAACTGTTTTAAATATTTTCCAATCTCATCGTTACAATTATTCCAGCCAATATACCAGGGCATTTCTCCAGGTTTTAACATCGCTCTGTCGGCATTCATATTAAAAACTTCCTGTAGAGAGGCAAACTCTGTTTTATATGGGAAGAACTGGCATGTTTTATGTTTGCTCCTGTTTACTTCCGTTGAATTGAATAGCGCTTTGAAGAAATCAAAAGTAAACAACTTTTTTGCAGGCCAATTCGCAGCACCATCGGTTACCACAACCGGATGAGTTTGTTTGAAGTATTTTTGCAGGAAGAGTGCAGGTGATACGTTGGCTACTTTGTCAACTTTCGAAAAATCCTGACAAATCTCGCAGTATTCTGGAGCGCGAAATAACTTAGAAGTCTCATGAGGCATTTCTATATAGCACTAAAGAAAACTTTAGGTTGCTCCAAAGCAAAAAGCATCATATGCTTACCTCCGATTTGTCGAGTAGATGAATATGTCGAAACATCGCGCAAACGAGAAAAGCAGCGGCGATAAAAACGATCAATCTTAAAGGCAACTCAGTTTTGCGAATTTTTTTTAGCACAGTTAGTTTGTGAATGTCCGTAACGGGAATATTTGAATTTTCAAACTTGCAAAGAATGGTCTTCAACCGCTCTTTAGGGCTTTCCATATTGAACTGATTCGGGCATTACACCGCTCCAGATTCCGGATATTCAATTTAATTTATCAGTGCGAGCAGCTGGCTGTAACCATTGAACTGGTTAACGTAATAAAAGTTCCCTTATTCCACCTGATCAACCCCGCAAATAGAATGGAGAAGTGTTAAATTAATCAGACAATGTAGTGCTCTGAGAAAAGATTTTAATATAATTGACACAAAATAGCAATTAAAGAAATTTACAGCTACAAACGGATTAAAGTAACTAACAGCAACAATCAAGATTTAAATATCAAACAGGCTGATAAGAAACTTACGCGATAGTTACTGGCGATGCTGTAGTATCTTTAACTGAATTAGTATGCTAACTGAACCTATCGCCAAGCCAACTTATCACCGTAACTTTTACAACTAATTTAAATTGCCGATAACTACGTTGGTATTTTTAAAGGAACAACCAAGAATAATATTTAGTAGAAATAAATTAGAAAATATGACATCAAATTACAAACTAAACTTTTAAAAAATCTGAAGTATTATTTAAACTAGCTTCAACAAGTATATGCATTCAACTTTGATCCATTAGGAAATCAGCATGAGTTGTAGTTGAATCTTTTTGGATCGATTCGAAGATCGGTTGCAGGTCCGAAGAATTTTTTATTTGATTCACAAACTCATTCAGATGAGGATTTTTATCTGAAATTAATATTGAAATGAATATTCATATAAAACGTGCTATACGTTTAAACATTCACACTTTAAAACCAACAAATTCTCTATCACTAAAACTCACCAGCATCAGGAATACTCAGTAAAGCAGTGACAGCTCGCATGGCAGACCTTTTCAGTTCGTCTTGTTTCTCGTACTCTTGTTTCACAGAGTTTGCTTTCACCTTTAACGTCAACGTGGCCCGAAGAGGTTCAATTAACCTATCTAATCCTAAGGTGAAAGAAAGACTAGTTAATCAATTTTGCGTTTCTGTCTTTGTCCACTTACTCTGAAGAACAAACCCTGGACATATCTGAGCTAATCTAGCTACCATCAAGTAGGTCAACATCTTGATGTCGTAGTGATCTTTCAGGCCGGATTCCACGTGATTTATAAAATCAAAAATATCAATTTTATCCAGGCATGAATCTAACAGCGTGTACATGCATTCAAAAGCAGCCTTTCTAATATCCAAACCATCATCGACAGTGTGTTTGAAAGGCCCCATTTCCACTTCGCGAATAAGATCTCTCTAAATCAAAACAGAAATATAAATGGTAGCTAGTCCATATGGTCATATTTTTATACAACAAACCTTGACATTGGTCTCATTGTATAGCTGCGGCAAAATAGACTCCAAAAGATCTCGAATCAACGAAGGCTTGTTGTGTGCAGCAGAATTAAAAGCTACTAATGCCACTCTTCTAACATTCAGATCTGGATCTTGCAATGTATTCAAAAACTCTCCAATGCATTGTCGCAGAAGTGGGTCGATTGGTGTTGGCTGAAATGCATGTTAGTTGCTTAAAAACTACGCAAATTGCTTTCAAGTTCTCAATACCTGGTCCGAGATAGTGAATTTCACGGCTGTAACAACCGTAGTTCTCATCAACGGCGAAGGGGAATTTAAGGACCGTTTCAACTTCGGGAGTAAATTCGATGGATCGATCAAAGTTAATTTGCCCAAACATTCGGCCACGACGTTTCTGGTACCTTCTTCTTGGCACTCACAATGGCAATAAAGTTGAGCCCAAATATCGGGCACAAATGGAAGGAGTTGCTGAACTCCTTCGGTGGTTTGAGACAGACAGGTAATCACCTAAAAATTCTCATGTATTTCCAAGAACTTAGAGGAATATCGATGATTGTCTCACTTCCTTGACCGAATGCAGCAAGAGATACTGTCTTTTCTGCTGCTCTTGACTTTCTTTCAGAATAAACGGCAAATATTGTTGAAGATTTCCAATACAGATGCTACCTAATGCGTAACTCGCTGCTGACTTGACTTCTTCAGACATTGCGCTAAATGCGCTTAAGATAACTTGTTTTAAGTTGGGCACTGAAGTCAGATCGCTAAAACAAACATCATTCAAAAGGAAATATATTTGCCGGGCAAACCCAATTCTTACATCTCCCTTCCAATTTCTCCAACGACAAGAAGAGCAAATATTTGTTGTGAATCCGATGTAGCACATTGAATTTCATTAATAAACTGAGGGATAACTGGAAGAGCTTGTGATTGGCAAACAACAGTAATAGCTGCTACACATTTGGCTAAAGAATAAAACGCTTGTTTGTGTAGAACGGCCTGCTGGTTTGTTGATAGATTGCTTATCGGCATAAGAAGCAAACGCAAAAGATAGTCGTATGACAAACCAGGAAGATTGCACTTGACTAACGATTTAAAGAATTCCAACATCGACTGAAGAGCAGTGCCTGTAAATTAAAAATGAGCAATGCCAAAGTTACGGAAGACCCTAAAACATACCTTGTAGAAGAGGACTTTTTACCAGAATCAGTACTTGTGGCATTATGCCGCTATTAATATCTTGAAGAGCCTTCGGATGTTGCACGGCAATTGATTTTAAAATTATTAAAGTCCACTGAGCAATATGTAAGTCAGATTCATCAAGCAACGGAGGAATCTCTGCAACGATTGGTTGCAGCAGTTGAACATTAATTTTCTTATGGTAGTTCTGAATCAAGCAATCAATTAGTTGAAGTGTGCTTAACTTAAGAGCTCTTTGGTTTTTTCTTAGAAAAAGACCTAAAATAGGCATGGCTTCTGGCAATATAGGTAGATCAATTCCCAGTGGTGAACCAGCTATTTTCTTCAATGCCTTCACAGTAGTTAAACGAGTTATCTCGTTCTTAAGTCTGTCCAAGAACAGCGGCAGACAATACGGCAATTCTCCTTTCAACTGGTCTCCTAAATTGCAGATTACTTGGCCCATAGTTGAAATTGCTTTCTCTTTCACTTCTTGATCAATGTCAGAAGCTTTAAGCCTTAGAAGCGTACAAACATAAATGTCTTTCGTAAATGGAGTGAAATCAAAACCTGTATGAACCTGGGTGAGGAGAATATGTATTCATAAAAGTTATTACAGCTTTTATATATTAGTATATTTACCTGCATCGGTCTGATGACTTTTACCAATTCCTGTAAAACGCCAAGAGCTTCAGCAGTAATTTTGTAAAAATTGTCTCCCACAGCTACGATTACTGGCTGTAATAGAATATTGATAAATGGGTGAAATACTGTCGGAGGGTGAGTAGTTAGGAGACAATATATAAATGACAGAGCATCAATTTTCATATTACTGCTGGAATTTTTCTCCACTAGAGAATATAAAATCCCTGGAATTAATTCACCGATATGAGCACCTAAGGCGCCGGGAAGGACTGTGCACACTTCTTTCAGTAGTTGAAAACAGTCTTGTCTAAAAATCGAATAATTAAATTAGTAATACATTTTTATGCAATGTAAATACCGGGTTTTCATGCTTTTCTCTTTCATTTGTATTTGAATTCCTTTAACAAGTGGGGCAATTTGCACTTGCAGCAGTGATGCAGGCGTTTCTTCTTCATCATCCATAACCATAGCATTAGGATCTAGATTAACATTAACGGTGGCTTTTGTTTGTTTCAATAAAGCCATGTAAGCGTGGAATATATCAGATTTCACGTTTTCTTCTCGTTCTGGAAATCAAACTAGACAATGAACAAAAAGTACTATTAAACAGAGCTAGATAATTGCCTTTGAATCTAGAAATCAAAGCAGGCGAAAGAACTTTGTAAAATTCCGCCAGTAACTCGTGACGAGTGCTGATGATTGCTTCTAAAGACTTTGCAGCCGACCTGCGGACTTTCCAGCTCATGTCATCGTCATCACTGTACTCATCGTTTTCCTCATCATCTTCATCATCCTCCACATTGGTGCTTCCTAATCCGTCATCTTCATCATAGTTGTAGTTCGGATCGTATGTCATGTATTTAAGGCATAACTCGGTTATCTAGAAAAAACGGCTTGTTTGAAAACTCCTTAAAATAAACTGGATAATAGCACCTTGGGAATATTCGGTGTAATTTCTTTGGGGCATCTGTTAACAAAGCTTTCGAATGCCTGTAGACAATATTCTCTCAACTCTTCGTCATCAACATCAGATCTCTGGAGAATAATTGGAACAAACTTATCGATTTGCTCTCCAAATTTATGGCCAGACTGACGACTGAAATAAAACTCGTATGCGTAAAAATAAGCTTAAGACAACTTCCAACCCGTAGCTTACCAAACTGCAGCAACGCATTGGATGTAAGTACGCGTCTGGGAATTCGCTTTATTAAGGCGCAGACCGTCATACAGGTGGTCAATCAGTTTGTTGTACAATTCGTTATTGCAAGAAAGTACCAAGTTGCTTAACGCACAAATAGTACGCTTTCGCACTGCTTGGCGCTGAGATTCCAACTGAGGCAATAACGCTGTTAAGATCGACTGATGGAATGTCTGGAGCAAAGGGCCAAACCGCAGCAGCAAATCTGCGATAATATCCAAAGCTTCCAGTTGAACAGAAACGTCTTCTTGCTGGAAAGTTTCATAAATGCACCATAGTTTCGAATAAGGAAAAAGTTCCATCAAAGTAGAGCGTTGATTATAATTAATATTATAATACGTTAATATAATACGGGATTTTTCTATAAAAAAAATGCCTGTTAATTTATTGGCACTTTGGAAAGTATTTGATCAAATTAAAAATTTTGTTGCATTCGGTCTTACAAAAAGCCGCGTTTTTCGGCAAATATTCACTCCTACTCTTAAAAGTTCGTTGGTATGTTTATCGAACACCATGTATATGAACCGTTTTGCTATACACAGTTCTCGATCTGTCAGGAAGCCTCATTGGATTCTCTTTCGTAAATTGTTGAGGCTTTCTTTCGGGATACTCGCTAAGATTTTGATATACTTTATACCAGGGCTGAGTAGAACAGAAAGAGTGAGGTCGACCTTTTCGATCGAAGTGCAATAATTTCAGTGTTGCATTGAAGTTTTGCGGCTATGGCCGCTTTCAGTTGCTCGCTTCATTGCAATGCCTGGCCGAATTTACCATTATACGTTGGGAAAGAAGCTCCAGCCTTTTCCAGTCTCATGAAATGAGCAAAATTTATTCCTTCGCGGCTTCACAGCAATTTAAGGCCGGCTTTATATAGACAGCGCGATTTTTCGATGCCATGTTGATAGAAAGTCTTAATTAACTGTTTATATACCAATGCTCTGAGATATTTAGCGGCATCCAGGTCAGACAGCACGTTTATTTGAACATGCTTGATACAGTAATTAATTGCGTAGAACGGAAAGCCCTATCAAGCACCCTAAATATACAGGAGACATGAAAACTTACCCTTTCAATTGCAGTGGTTAATCTGCCGGTGATTCTCTTGCAAATAGCTCCAGACATGCCGACAATAGATTGGGGCAATTCAGCAATGACGGTTTTGAGCCCAATGCTGGAGATATCACGTAACTGCTCCTTATCACAAACCATATTGATGCAAAGAGCTTCAACAATAGTATCTACTTGGTATTCTTTGACTTTGTTAACTAGAGGTCCCAAACTGAAATTGAAGAAAAGAAAGAACATCAGGAATATGTGGGGAGAAGATTGAGCTGGCGAAATTGAACTTCTGATTTTTGGTTTTCTTACCATTTAACTGCTAAATTCTGTACTTCGCCATTCTTGTCTTCGAGTAACTTTAGAAGCATTCTAACAACTTTCCGCTCAGAGTCATCATCCAGCTTAATACTATCCTTCTGCAGTTCGGTCATAAGATCGTTGGTGGCCATAAATCGAAAATCCTTGTCAGATGATTGCATCTGTAAAAACAATAACATGAGTGGAAACTTAGTTGGTTTCGCTTGAAAATTTGTCTTGGTTTAAAATATCAGCTGTAAGTCCTAAAAGTCTAAACATTTAGCTTATGCAGTGAATTTCGTTGGTGTTTAGAAAAATACGAATAATTGGCAGATTTTGAAGTGTTTATGTAAATCATGAAAAACGTACTGATGAAACTTCAAATGGGGGATGCAAATGAGGCTTTGAGTCAGTTTGTTTGTTTTTATTACGTTTTAGGGTTACTATGGGAGAATGGCACTATTAAGCTCGTACGAAATGTTGGTTTTTTAATTCACTTACCTTTTCTAAGAGGTTGGCTATTTGATAAGATACACTAGCCATGGTTGAAATTTACCGTATTTCAATATCAACAAACAAATCACAGAACTTGTACTATAAGTAAAAAATGAAAAATTGTAAAATATACATCAATTCTAGGTTAGCTGCTTTCCAGATCAATTTTCATAGTACAGCATCACGTATCTCGATTGCAGCACATTAACGGATCGCCAAAATTATGTTCAGAGAACAGTGCAAACCAAACGAACGGGAAAAATAAGCAAACTGTTATATATAAAAGATTATTTCCGATTCTCGGCAAATGGAAAATCTAAAATCAGCGTATCACAATAACAAATTTGACGTTTACCACTGGGATTATCGAGAATAATGGATCAAGTGGAGAATATGGCTCCTGCGCAGTAACATTTCATGAAGATTCCGTACAGGATAAATTTAAAATTGGAAACGAATAAAATAATAACAGATAATAAGCCCGAAGTAGTTTCACTTCAATATTTTATCAGAAATTAATTCGAGTAACTGCCCAAGATAACCTAACTCAAAAATGGAATCATAAAAATTATGCCTGTTCATTATTTATGCACCACGCATTCGCTTTACGCAACCTAAGATACATCTGTGCAGACGGTTTGTTTGAAAATTTTCGTTTCAAATTAAAAGATTCTGTACTCATAAGCTGCATAACAGTATCAAATGACATGTAAGTCCTCCTGAACACATTAGTGCCGTGAATACTTAGAAACCGCGTGGCCCAAGAAAAGGGGTCTACATCAGCGTCGCCTTCCTCGCTCAAACCATTACTCGAACCTGCGGACATTCTGATCGTCCCGCTGAATGTATTAATTAAAAATGCAGTATCACTCAGTACTAATTTCACTGTGCGAGTTACTCAAATTGCCTTATATTCTATCGACAACAAAACAGTTGTAAATCGCTAAACTATCACTCACTCATCTGGCTGTATGTTCAATGTTACTACGCCTCAAAGAGTTGCAATTTGAAACTTTCCAAGGGATAAATTCGTTTTGCAAAAACAAGGTCTAATATGCGCTGCTGTGAGGTCGTATTGAATACTTACCAGTGTAAAGCTATCAATCGAAAGAGCCTTTAAAATTCTCTCTAGATTGTTCATTGTTTTGAGTTAAATAAGTAAATAAAATAATTAAAATGAAAACCCCTTCTTCCTGCTCTTTCCTAGCAGACTACTCAATTCAGAAACAGGGATTTTCTTCAGTGGTTGCCCGTCTTACAAAATCAACTTAAAAGTTCCTAGATTTTGGTCATTTTTTATAACGTTTATTATTAATTTAAATCTGGACAATCCAGAAAAAAAATTCGAACAATTTACAATTTCTATTCTATTCTTCTAAATTATTCATTATTTATTATTAATTTAATATTCCTCTATGGCCCATGCAGATCCCAAATCTCTCAAGGCAGGTATTAAATTTATGTTGGCTGCTCTGATGTTACTATCAGTGCGCGGTAGTATTTGAGTTTGTCTGCGTAAAACGACCAAGTTTCACTCTGGAGTAATTTCCACGAATTTGTGGGCCAATTTAAGGCAAATGTGCTGCTTATATTAACTCAGATCTGTTTAGCAACTAGTGTAAATATAAAAACTGTGCATAACAGTGGTTCCTGACTTCTTTGACAGGCCGACAATCACAGACAGCAGCCCCCAAAGGTAAAAGCAATTGTTTACTTGAGTTTAGTGTCTAAATGCTTAATTAAACACTATTTTGTTTATTCTCGTTTAGTTACTGTAATTGAAAATAGTTACTTTTGAAGCCCTTTACTGTGTAATGCATCATTTAAACTATCATCCACTGTGTAGAAACATGATCACTGTTGTATTTAAAAAAGTTAATTAAGCCTCCTCACATTCTCAATTTAGGACTTACTACCACTGATTAAAACTCATTCTCGAAGTCCCATTTCGACCTCCTTATCGCGTATTAAGAGTGTATCAAATTACAAGTAACATTGCCTAAATGATTCCAAAATTCATACTGATTGAATACACTCAAATGCAGTTATAATCACCAAAGGTTGATTGTTAATGTAAGTTTAATTTTCATATCAACTTATTTCGTTCGAAGCTTCGGCCGTTCGAGAAACTATCCTGCGAAGTATACATTGGCTTCTCTGGAATTTCTAATAAAAGTTACGTAAAGTTTCTCGATTCAAATGTGAATACCTGATTCAAAATGAATTTACACTTCAAACATTCACCAGAAAAATGTACAATTGACTGGCAAATCAAAAACAATACACGAATTCAAATAAATTTGAAATCTTAGTACCTAGGAAACTATCAAAATTATAATCAAAAAGTGTTTGTAAAAAAGATTTTCGATTGCAGTGGATTCAAGTCTACTGGATTGTAAATTGAAGAAGGGGCGCGCCGGGTTGCGAAAAGTTGGTAACTCGGGTCTCTTAGCTTAAACTAGCTAATTTTTCGAGAAACAACTGAAATTTTGTGGTTTTTCCGATTTCTCTGTCTTTTCTTGGCTGATTCGAAATAATTGCGCCTTGATTTCATATAAATTTGAGCCTCATCCCTTTAATCACGGACCAAGTCTTGAAGTAGGCTTATAAAGGTCCTTTTCAGAGTGCATTTTCAATCGATATTTAAGGAACTTAGGTACTGCTATTAAGTAAAGAGACCAATTCCATTTCTATTAGCAAAAAAGTCATATTTTTAAATAGGACACTGTAGGTATAATTATCTTGAACTTACAGCTTACTTTTCAGAAAATATAGCACATTCTATGCTTTGATCAAGTATTATATGAAATTTGGAAGTTTAGAATTTTTCAAGTTTAGATGACAATCGTAAATTACGAACAAATAAGCTTCGGACGACGTTGCAATAAAATGGAGCTCAATAAAAACTATAGACTATTATTGCAGCCCTTTATTTTATCTTTACAATAATAATGCGGATTAGCTATTAAAAAGCAAAACATTATAATCCAGCCAACAAGCACAAAACATTCTCTTACATGAGATGTTCGAATTATCTTCTCCGCTTTCCCCAATGCAGAGACGAAACATTTTCTGGACGTCTTGCGGACTTAATCCTTGCATTACCAATATTTCTAACTCTGGTCTAGAGTGTCCCCTTAAGTGTACCCTTAAAGAAGTGTTTCTTTTCTGAATAACTAAGAGTATTGGTTTTCCATAAATGAAGCCTACATTATTGGATTCCACGTAAAAAAATATTTCGAAAATGTTGCCGCAAAAACTAAATCTCAGGGAAAATGTTGGAGAGTCTCCAAAAGTGATTTTTGCAAAAGACTACGTCTCTGAAACAATTAGATATATTGTCATAAGAAATGAAACTGAACGGTTCTCTTTTTTACGTTTTTATACGATTCTATACAACAGTTGAATATGCTTTGAATGTGTGTATTTGACAAGCATTTTATTAAAATTCCAAGTGATATCCTAGATTCAGATTGAAACTACCAAGCAAATCGAATCAATGATAGTTTATTTCGCTTTACACATCAAGATTGGGAAAGGTAACATCTACTATTGAATAAATATACACATAAAATACTTGTAGGTACATAAATCATAAAGAGAAAATTTATAACTACATTTCACGGTTACCACAAATAGAAAATGGAACTTATATATTACAAATGTGCTATTCTAAATATTAGAACATATTGAGCTGCGCTTTGGGCATGGTATGGTAAATCGAATCTAAGTGAATCAAAGCCCGAATGAATTGGAAATATTAACTAAGTCCTGAATTTATATTCCCATTACTTCCGTTTTTTACTAATGGTCTTTGGGTTGAACTTGTTTCTTGTTTTCTTTCCACGCTGTAAATAAACATCAGTCATGCATTTGCAATTTTTATCAACTGATACACTAAAATGTTTTACCTATTGCTTCTTGAAGATGAGCCGCTTCGTCTAAATATGCCAGTCAGTCTCTCTTTCAAGTCTTTTTTACTCCCTTTTTCTTCATTCACATCCGAATTCGAGTTGTTTCTGGAATTACTCTGAAAAATCCACAGTATTTTTTGTCTTATTATATTAAATTGCTTTTAAGTTAATTTTCATTACCTTGGAGCTAAGGGTTTTAGAATTAGAAAAAGTGCCCGGATCTTGGTCATCAATGCTCCTAGATTTTGTTAAGTTTTTCAACTTGCCAATCAAGCTTTTCTTCTTTTTCTTTTCTCCCACATCGCTTTGAGTCGATCCTCCGGATAATCGACTGTCTAAGCTGGAATCTCTTTTTCCTCTTTTTAGATCAACATCAGACTCCAAGGACTGCAAACTTGACATGCTATCGTCATTGTCATTCCTCCATATTTTCTGGTCTGCTTGGATATTGTGTTCAAGAGAAAGACTTTTTCTGTGCAGGCTGCCTTGACGATCAATAGCAGTTTGTTGCCTCATAACTGTCCTACTATATCTAGCGCTTCCAACATTTTCAGCTTCTGTAGACGTTGCTCTGCGCATTCCTATTCTTCTGAGCCTCTCTCTTTCTTGCTCGTCTTCATGGTACTTTTGTAACTTTCTTAAATCCTCAGTTGTGTGCACAAGTCGCTGCATGATTTTCTGAATTTGTTGTTGCTTGTCTTCAGGGTTTACAGAACTTTCACGTGAGCCGATTGCTGGAGAAGTTTCTCTGGACTTAGATTTAGTTCGTCTAGGTGGTGTGGGTGTATATGGATCTTCCTGGTCCTTAGAGAAAAATAGCTCTGGAGCCAGTTGTTTTAAAATATCAACTTGCTCTACAATTTTCTCAATCTTTCTGTCGTCTTCATTATCAGTTCGTCGGCGACCAATTTTCTGCAATCTGAATTCTTCTCTTTCTTTTTCAAACCTTTCCTTTTCTCTTCTTAGTTTCTCATTAGTAGTTCGAAGTTTTGCGTGAGCATCACGTAGTTCCAAAAGATCACATTGCAGCTCAGTAATCTTTCGCTTTGTTTCATCCTGATCTTCATCAACAGACTTTTTAAATTGATCTTGTTTTCGTTTGGCCTCTAATCGTTCCTTATCTCTCTCTCTTTCAACTTCAAAAAGCGTCTGCCGTAAGTCACGGGCAAGTGTTGCGGTTTCTTGTAGCAGCCTTTGCTGTTCTTCTCGCTCCTTTTGCCAGGCGAGTTCCATTCGGGTTCTTAAACCCATTATCTTTGTTCGACCGCTATTCAGAACTTTTTCCTCTTCCAACTCGTTTACTTTAGAGTGGAGCTCAGATAGGCGAACTTCCCACGAAGACCTCTCAGATATAAGTTCGGTTTTCAGTCTTGAGCTTTCCAGGCGAGATTCTGATAATTCATCCTCCATGCAACTTATTTGCTGCTCCAATGTAGCAATTTTACTCTTGGATTCTTCAAGCTACAATAATAAGTTTTTACTTCCAGAAGCGCTTATTTTAAAATGATCATACCTCGTCATAATGCAGCTTTTCTTTAGGACCTTTATTGCTATGCAATTTGGGAGACTGTTTAAGTTCGCTCATGGTTTTTTGGGCCGTTTCCAACATATGCTTATAATTATCACGTTCACGTTTAAATCTGAGTACCTGGTTTTGTAACGATTGCAGCTCTTGATTGACCAGGCTTAGTTGGCTTTCATACCTCATCTTGCATTCTCCTACTTCTCCCTTCTTCACCTTTTCGGCATTGTTTAATCTGGAAAATTTTGAACATTATTAATACCAAACTTGTTTTATTTTTACAAAGCATACTTAATTCGCAAGTGTCTAATTTCGTGTTCCATTGCAGATGAGTCAGCACTAATATTCCGTTGAACTTTGTTAACTTTTTCATAGTCATCCAGTTTTCGCTTTAATTCGTCATTTTCTTTTCTCATATAGTCCATTTCGTTGTGGATCAGATCATATTCCTTCTTAATCTGATCTACCTCAGATTGCTTTTCCTCGAAAAGCGCTTTAAGTCTTTGTTTGTCAATGTCTCCACCATTATAGTTCACTCTAGACATATCTTTAAGCTTTTGTTCTATATCCAGCTTTTCTTTTATCCAAGCATCTTGCTTAACGTTGTAAGTCTCTCTTAGAGTTTTTAGCTCAGTTTCTAGCTGATCTTGCTCTTTCTTGAGATTTTTGAATTGACTAGAAGCGATGTGACATGGGATTTATTTCTTGTTGGCTTATGATTTTATTTTTAACTTACTTTTCTAACGTTTCCTTTTCCATTACCAACTTGGCCTTGGTTACCACATGCTCTTCTTCCAAAATTTCGTATTTTGCGGTGAGGTCATCATATTTCTGCCTTTCTCTGCTAATTGTGTTGTCTAGTTCTAGAATTTAATTTTATGCAAATACATACAAGAAAATATTCGATTTTAATTGGTAATCTTACTTTCAATAGCTTCTTGGAATTGTTTAAGTTCAAGCTCTCGTTTGATTCCTCCCCCAGTACCGATTTCCAGTTTTTTAATTTTGTTCTTTAGAGTGACTAGTTCCAGCTCGCGATTCTTTTGCTCTTTTTCGGCATTCGATTTCAGGACATCAACTTTTTTCTTTTCATTTTGTAGGTCAATGTGCAGCTCTTTGATTTTCTTTTCCTGCTCCAGTGTGCCATTTTTCTTTTCCAGCTCTGCTTTTTTAAGCTTATCCTCCAAATTCTTCTGACTCTTGTTAGCGAGTTCTAATTTAGATTCCAACTCAGAAAGTATTACAGCTTTTTTGCTTAATTCATCTTTTAGTTTGCTGATTTCTCTTCCTTCCAGCTCTCCTATTTTAAGGTTGGTTTTGGAAACCATTTCTCTCTCTTGAGCTAAGCTTTCTTCGAGTTGCTTTACCAATTTGTCCTTTTGCTCAATGGTGTTTTCATATCCTTTGATCTTAGTATTTAAGCTTTCAATTTGATAATTCAGTTTCTTTTTCTCATCTTCAAGTTTATACTGAACTTCTTCCAATTTTTTAATTTTTTGTTTCTCTTGTTCGATCTACAAAATTCTTATGCGCTAATTTCTTTTGTGTTTTCAAATTACTTACCTTTCTCTCCATGTCCTTGCTTTGTTCGCTTAATTTTTTATCACACGCGGTATATTTGTCTTCGAATTTAGTCAATCGGATTTCTAAGTCAGATATTTTCTTATCCTTGGAAACGTTCTAAAAATAGTATTAATATTGATGGAGCATGATAGGTTGAATAAATCCAATATTTACCTCATTGTTGAGCCTTGTGATTTCTTCAGCATTTTTCTCTAGTTTTTTCAGTTCAAGCTCTTTGTCATCCAGCGCATTTTTAAGAGATTCGATTTTCCTGTTTAACAAAACGACTTCATCTTTTTTACTTTCCAAATCCCCTGAAAATCGTATATTTTTTTTTATTTTTAAGTTATTGAATTTGCAAAATAGATTACCTAATTGATCTTTCATCTTGGCAAGCTTATCATTCAGGTTCGTCTTTTCGTCTATTGCCTTCTTTTGCTCCTTATTCAGTTTTTCCAATTGGTCTTTCAATTTCTTTTTGTCGCTCGTAATCTTTTCAAGAGATTCTCGAATTTTGTTCATTTCTAATGACAGTTCTTCACTTTTCTGGGAAGCTTTTGTGCTTTTGGTTTTTTCTTCATCTAGTTCTTTTTTAGTGCCTTCGAACTTCTTCTTAAGTTCTGATAAGTCTTTAAGTGTTTTTTCCAGTTCAGAACTATATTTCGCTTTTTTCAGGTCTTCTTCAAGCTTAATTTTTTCGTTCTCACTTGTTTTCATGTAAGTTAATATCTCGCTTATCTCCTTCTCCAAATCACTCACCATCGTCTTTAGTTGGTCTCGGGAGGTTAGAGCAGAAACTTTCTTTGGATTTCTATTACTAAACTTTTTGAAGTCTCCCTTTAATTCGAATAATGGTTAAGAACAAAAAATAAAGTTGGCAATAAATTACCTTAAATTCTCCAATTATGGTGCCAGATGATTCGAGCTGTTTGATTTTCTTATTTGCATCAGCTAGATCTATTTCAAGTGCTGCGATTTGGTCTATGCATTTGTCTAAATTCTTGTCACTTAGTTTACCCGCTTTTGAGTTTCTCAGTAAGCTCAACCTCTTATTTTCGGCAGTTAGTTTGTCGTTTTCAGATTCTAAATTTTGAACTTTGCTTCGCAATACTGCTGCCTCCTGCTCAATCACTTGCAGTTGTCTTTTCAGATCAAGGGTTTGTTGATCTAAGTCCAAGGATCTACGGAAATTTAATTAAGTTTTTCAATCAAATTGTTTTGTTTTATCTAATTTACTTGACTTTCTGCATTCCTTTTGAACGCTTTTGATTCAGTGCAATTTCAGCGTGAAGCCGCTCACAGTCTCTTTCTTTCTCAATTAGTTTTTTGCGTAAATCATTTGTCTCATCTTCCAACACCTGAAAAAGTTTGAAAATATTTCTTGATTAATGATTTGGAGTTTGGATAGTCATTCTCTCACTTTAACTTTTTGATTGTCTATAGAGTTGCCCTTATCACTGGTTATTAAAGATTTCCTAACGGGCACTTTGGTTCCTAATTTTTCGTTTAAATCTTTGGCTTTCGTCTTCAATCTTCTGTTATCCGCTTCCAGTTCTTCAACCTTCTTTCGAAGAACTGAGGCTTCCTGTTCGCTGAGTTCAAGTTGTAATTTCATTTCCTCCAAGTTTTCATCTTCCGACAAATCTTTGTTTTCTGGTGGCTCTGGAGTCAACCTTTGATTTGTTGGACTTAGTTTGCGACCTAATGGTTTAGATATGTTGGTTATATAAAAAGTTATCTTTTTTGTTGAACAGTAGATTTTGGAAATGTTTTTATCACATTTCAATGGTAGCCTTTTATGCTGTTTGAATGTATTTTGAATGGGGGTGCAATATTTGCCGTATAATATTTTGTGCATGGGTTGGAAATTTGAGTTGGTCACAATAAAATAGCAAGCTTTATTAACGACACTATAAACAGTCGAAAATTTAAGCAAGAAGTTGTAGGGGATAATTGCAACTGTAGAAAATGGCCATCGGTTAACTAGATCAGATAAAGGAGAACTAGGGAAAGTCAAAGCAGAAGCTAGTAAATAAAAACTGCAAAACAATCTCACATCACATCACAATCAAAGCATGCGGTTTTATTATAAAAAAACACTGAATTTCCACCAATTTGGTTTAACATACTTCTAGCTCTGGTTGCCATTTTTTTCAGCTGCAAAACCAAAGACTCGTTATCGTCCTCAATCCGTGATACTTTCTTGCGTAAATTTTCCGCCTAAAAACCAAAACAACATAAAAACATGTTTTACCCATGACCGCTACAAAAGTGTCCATTGGCGAAAACCATCTTGTTGGACGAATTTGTGTCATCGGCAAGTTTCTTAGTTGCATCGAAGTTATTAATTGTTTGAGCGCGGATTGACTTTCAAATGGTTTATCTAGTTCTTTTTCGCTCATACTGTTACCGGTAAAATTATCAGTTTGAGTTGACTTAAATTGATTTGAAGATTTCTCAAACAAACTGATGTCGGTTTGAGTAGACATAAATATGCAATTAAATAGGGTTTGAGTGTATTTATTTTCCCAATGAGTAGTGGGCGGTAATACTTTATGTGGGATTTTCTTGCGAAGTAAGCGGTTGTTCTGTTGTAGAAAAGTATTTTAGGACCGTTGAATTAATGTTTAGCGCCATTACCTCTTCTTCGGCGAACTTCAACTGTTCCCTCAGATCAGCTTCTCTTTCCAGGGAGTCTTGTAAGTCTCTTAGTAGTTGAGCTGGATCATCCTGGGAGCCTCCTCTTGTTAGTGACTCTCTTGATACTTTTTGCTTTAGAAATCAAGATTATAATATATCTAGTTCAATGTCCTTGGTCCTACTTACCCCATCACCAGAGGGACTCTTTCCCAGAGCTCCAAGGAGAGGAGCTTTCTTTTTAATGGGAGTGTTCTTTGCGCTTTCTTCAAGTTTTTTATGCGAATCTTCTAACTCCTTTTGCAGTCTTAGTGACACTTCATTAGATATTTTCAAATCTTGCTCCAGTTGCTTAATGCGATCTAAATGGGATAGAGTTCCCGGAGCTCCAGATACCTGCAAACAAGAAGTTTTGGTACTTACAAGTTTCAGTTAAAAAGTCGAAGCGTTACTTCAGTCAGTTTTTTTCCTATTTCAGCTTTTTCATTTTCTAGTTGCTCCACTTTGCGTTCTGCTTTTCTGAGCTTAAAGGATAGTATTCTACAGTTCTTGGTGGTTTGGTCCAGTTCCTTTTTAATTGACGTGTACTCCACAGCTTGGTCCTCTCTAAATTATTTCCCATTTTTTTCAGATGATCATTGGCATACATAAAACTCACCTGAAATTATCCTGCATTTCGTCGATTTGTTCCTCCATGTCTCTGAGCTCCTTTTTCATGTCTTCATTTTCGTCCATGAGCTCCTCACATACTGTTTCAGCTGCCAACAATTTAGATCTAAGTTCATCAGCTACCTTTTGCGCTTCCTGAGCAGTTGGCCTAAGGTCCAAGTCAGCTTCCATTTCTTTGACCCTCAAAGTTAAGCTGCGCTTATCATCTATATAGTCTTCCAGTTGCTGCTGCAGTTGATTGCATTTTTGCTGCAGCTTCAAGACTTCAGTCGCTGTTGTTTTGCTGGTTGTAGTTTCCATTGCAGCTAATCTTCTAAGTAGGATGTCGCTTTTCTCGCGTTCCAATCGATCACATTTTGACTTTGTGGTTTCTAGTTCTTTGCGAAGGCTTTCGAGTTGTTCCCGTAGTTCATTGTCTACTCCTACTAAAGTAGTGTCAGTTGTTTCCGTATCAGCGTTACTAACTGTATCATCATGGTCTGAACCTGATCCGGAAGTTTCAGGTGAATCTTCAGATTTTACGTTTCGTTTCACCTAATTGAAATGTTGATAGTTATTATCTGTTTGGTTAAAAATGTAGAAAAAATCTGCTGGATTGTGAAATGGACAGTAGATTTTTTCGTGGTACATTTACGACATCCACTGATTAGATTACATACACAGTGTCTCAATGGATTTAAATACATTTTAGTAGGAGTGCATAATATTATGTTTGTTTGATTAGGCAGTAGTTTGATAGTTGTTTTAAATAGTGTGTCCTTGATGTAAATGATTATTTTAATGTTAAACTCCAAATGGCATTACATATTACATGAAGAATTCAGTTCAGTTTAGGAAGCCAGATGTAAGTACAAATATGGTTGTTTCACTTTTAAAAATTGAATTAAAGACAACCAAGAGCAGGATTGCATGATTTTATTGCGACACTCACGTTCAACGCAATAAATCATCAATATCTTCGAATCCCTAGTCAGTCCTCGGCAATGTGCTGTTATCATTCAAAATCAAAACAGGAATTCCCATTGCTTTATAATTATAAAAATTAAAAAATTATCTATTGTAACATCTACTCTTCAATAAGGTAACTACGGTACGGGGTATAAACTTGTTATTTGTTCATTAAAAAATAAATTCAAATTAAAAAGCGGTGCCCTTAATATTATCTATATATAAGCCTTTGAATAAATCGATTATTCACGATATCCCCTGTTTTAAACTGGTTGGTGTTTCTTACCGTATTTTCATGTAGTATCTTCAAAGACACTCAATGGGAAATCGGGATTTGCTAAAAGATTATTGCATTACCGAAAATTAGATGTTTTTAGGAAGAAACTACAACAAAGCTCTTGACTAAAAATTAGGATAAAGTGAGGGTTAAACACACAAAAAACATCAATTACTTGAATAAGAAATTGTACATCATGATTATTTGGTTCCTCCGAAATTGTTTTCACTTCTTTGATTTGTATCCTTCTCGACGATTTATCTGAATATGTTGATTCTTTTATTGCCTGTAGTTTTTTCACTCTGGTCGCTAATGTGTCATTTTTATCGTATATTGAGGATTTTCTTTCCTTCATAAGCGAAACACTATCTGAAACTGTTGGGGGTATTTTTTCGCATGTCGCAGTGTGAAAGTCAATCAGTCCTTACCAGTTCTTTGACCTGTATCTATGTGTTTTATTTTTCGCTTAGGCAATTTAATACTGACTGTTGGAACCGCTTGCATGTCATCTTGAAGATTGGCTAAGTCGGGAGTTGATATCCATGATGATGGATTGGAATATTCACTATCACTGCTGCTTCCCGACTTATCGTTTTCTCCGGCTAAATTGGAACTTGACACCCAACTTCTTTTCGTGCTGCCGTCACTAATTCCGATCAAATCACCACATAAAAAAACAAGGATAAAATTTTGCTTTGTTATCATTTAAAACGCTAAAAGCAAGATGCAATGCGGTTGCTGCATTGTATTTATTATTCCGCCAGATTGTTAATGGGTTTCCATTATTTACATTAGTCAGCAAAACTAATTATACCTCGAATCCCCAAAGACCAAAATTTCCCGATTTTTATTAGTTCACAGAAACTGATCTAATGTAATCAAGCTCAGCGGTTTTCAGATTATTTTATTACTGCACATTTTAAGCTAAACCAAAGTTGAATCACGTTGAACATTTGCTTACCTTAAATTTAAGGACAGGCTTGGGGTTGAAGCTGTTGAGTTGTCGCGTCTTAAGCTTGGTTCATCTCTTTTCTTACCCCCATGTTCTTTGTAGTCGCTTGAAAATTATTCAGCATTAGTTACACTATTTATTTCTTTTCCCAAATGGGGATCTATGCTGAAGTAAGGTAAAAGAGGTAACCCTCCTCTATCTATTTTCAACTGCATTTAATTATTTCTAATTACCAACAGACATATTAATTCGCATTAATAACATATGAATGCAGCTAGCTAAACTGCTATTTAATCAGCGAAGTGAATCTATTAATATACTTAAAATCCGTAATTTAAAGTTAGCGTTTCAGAAATGTGTTGCGAGGTAAATTGTAATAACAATGAAATTTTATTTTATTTTTAACCTCCAGGAGAAAGTATTTGTACAGAACGCAAAAGTGTATCTATTTTTAAGGATATGAATTAATCAAAACAAAATCGCGATCAGTTTGAGATTATTGCTTTGAATATTTCCGTTGAGCATTTGATAGACATGCGAAAATTTTCCATCATTTTTCAAGCACCATTTCCACTTTTAACTCTGACGTCTTATTGGAAATAAAATTCAAATTATATAAGTTCGATTGCACGAAAGCAATTAACAAGATACCACGGACACAATGAAATGAAATATTACTTTTTGGAAACCGCTAATTATACTTCACTATAATAATTGAATGGTTTAAATTTCAGGATTTGTGAAATTTCTAGTTAAGGTGAGTCTAAAAGTTTTTGCGATAAAATGCAAAAATTTGCAAGGTTTTTGCCTCATATTTCAACATAATTAACATCAATCGCGCCCAATTTTTCATAATCTTTCAACGTGTGCAACTGGACCACTGTTTTGGTTTGTGGCTTGTTGGGAACCCGAACGGTTTAGTTCGTCAACACGTTTATTTTATTTTAAATAAAATTTATTTAAAATACTTAATACAATGTTATTAATCTGTTGTATTACAATTATAAATATTATGAGTGGAGGAAGAGACTGTTATGTATCTTGAGACTTGAGAGTTTTTAAAGAACACGATCGCGATGCGAACTGGTATAGTGTCTCGATGGAAATTTGTAGAGTGTCTGTTTTGGGGACAAAACAGACGGTCTTTTTATATCAAATTTTGATGACGTTTTTGGGTTTCGAGAATCATCCTTTTTGGGGCGTGAGGCCAAAAGGTTATCTTGTGTCTAAGAATGCTGTTGGGCCACATTACTAAATCAATTACTTATCTCGAAAGAAAAAATAGGACTAATTTGGGAAATAGTCATTTTAGTGCGGCGAGTAAAAAGGATTATCATTTAGGGAAGCGCTTATCATTTCATGATAGCGCTCAGCCGTGGAAAAAGGATGAGTTTAATTGGTTTGGTTGTCGAAATGTGTGAGACTCTTAGGTCAAAAGATTCAATTTAGAATTGAATTATTAGGCTTGAGTTCGAATGCCATTTAGATAGAAAAATGAATTATGTTGCTTAGGCTTAAATGTCGTTCCGATAAGGAGATGCGTGCTTGAGAATTTTAGAATACACTGAATAATCATGTGATTAAGCGTGGCACATAACAGGCTATTCGAAAATACTAGAACGTGTTGGTAAATTCCTGAAATTGAATCCATTGGAATTTTATAGGAAAGTCGGCTATAAAATAAATCAAAAAGTCTAGCAAGAGATAAATTTATAACTAGTACAAGGTTGAAGGCACATGTAAATGCCGTAAAGCCGTCAGCAGCTCCAAGATATCTATTTTAACCTTCGACTAGAACTCATAGTTTTTAGGCAAATTTATTTTTTGATTAGGAAAGTTTTTTTTCAATTTGAAATCGAAACAAAAAAAACAACTCATATTTTGTTCCGACACAGAAAAACACTTTTCTTATTATTAATAATTAGATTTAATTAATATACACATTTCAATTACCGTTTCTTATATAAAATATCAGTGAAACTGGGATGGGTTTCGAGTTACTTGGTTTAAGCGATGAAAAAAAAAGAAATGAAAAAAATTTGTCGTTTATTCAGGATTAGGAAACTTTCCATTTTTGCTAAATAGTTCCTCTACTGATCTGTTGTAGTTCAAGAGATTTTGTTTCTCATCGGAATATATACGCTGACCCATAAATATCGGCAGATCCATAATCCGACCAACTTTTATGCGTAGAATAAAGGTACATTTCAACATTTTGAAAGCCTGAAGATATTTAGCCCAATTTTGGAATACTAAATTACCCTCTGTTGTCTACATCATTCAATATTTTAAATCTCAAGTGGCAATCTTTTGAAAATTTGCGCGAAATCTTGAAAGAAATAGTAGATATTCTTGAAGCAGACACATTTACTTTATCATTGGAACAAAATCTCTAGTATTAAGAGCGAATTTATTATTAAACGCATTTGTAAAACTCAGCAGTAATAATATTTACTTCGAATAATAGTATTAAATGGAAATATATAGCTCATAAAGTAGCGCGTTTTTTCAAATTATTTTACATCACAAAATCAATGTTGAGGCCCCATTCAAATCTGCAGAAAACTGCAATTGTATTAATGCAATATTTCTTGTTAAATCAACACAGTAATTCCCAATTGAAAATATTGCCATCAGCTAAATCCAATTTTTAGAGTAAGTAATTGCATTATTGCTTACCGAAAACATCGTTTGCACCTCGTGGGCCATCTGACTTGAGGGTGGAACCCTAGGGGGCATAATGGATCACCCCTAAGTGGGTAAATATTGTGCATCGTCTTCTGTTTAGTGTAACCTGCAACGCTAGAAAAGCATCATTTTGGATTTGGAGCAGCGGAATGTTTTGCAAACATTAACTTTTTGGCGTCTGGTTTGGAATAAAAAGTTTGCGCACTTAGGATAAGTTGTAGTGTTGCACTTTATTGCGGTTAATAATTTCGATGGAATTAACTCTCATTCATTTGCGGATGTTGTATTTACTTTTAGTTTTTCTCGAGGGAAGAGATGTTATACGCTTATAGACGCTGGGTTATTGCGAGGACTGCCGTCTATATATAGCACGAGGCCTATTAAAATTTTCATTCACGTTTACTGACTTTTAAACAATTTTCCTTGAAAACCCCACACTTACTGTGTATTTGTTGATTTTCTTCTGAAACCACTTTACACCAAAAAAAAAAACTAAACTCTACTTCCGCAAATTAGCAGCTAAACGCGTGTGTCTTCGAGATTTCACAGTTCGCATAGGAATTCGGAGGGCATTGCATAACACAGCACTGTATAAATCAAAAGAATCGAATGGGAAAACTCTGGAGGAAATCATTCAATAAACATATACACACGTTGGTAGAAAAAAATCTGAGATGCTGAGAGCCTACAATCAAGTAATTCTAAGTCTAAGACGTCAAGTTAGCGTCACTTTAAATTTAATAGCAACCAGTTTCGTGGCTTACCTAAAAAACGGGAACTTTGCCAAAAATATTGCTCGGTGCTTTTAAGCAACACACATTATTTTAGCTGATTGGATTTTTATGACTTTTAATAGGAATGAAAATATTTACAGTGTGGCCAAAGTAAACTGTGGAAGTTATTTTAATAAATTGTTGATGAAATATCCCTTATATTAGCACTTTTCAATGCTTCGCTGTTTTTTTACGATCTTAAATGCTAAGTACAACCATTTCAAAGCTAATAAGAAATTTTTATTCAAGATTTATTTGTCCCAGATAATTAATCAGATAAACAATTGTTTAGCACTTTTTTTGCTACGAACATTGAGAAGTTTTTTGAAGGTGATACTGATTCTTTTAGATAAATTTTAATTTTACAAGATAACATTCATATCATATCAGGCAGTGATATGGTAACAATATAGATATTTGTAAAATACTTTCATACCAACTACCGAAAATTTTAATTACAGCCAATTGCAATCATTACTGCAGAATTAATATGTAAGAAGTGGTTTGGATAATGAATAGAAATAAAAGTTATGTCCACCCAGAAAGCCATATTTGATGTCTTGAATTCTTCTGTAGCAAAATATTCAGAATTATTTTATGAAAACTGGGATAACTTCACTAATAAAAGAATTTCGGAACTTTTCCAACTTCCCTGACCTCACTGTATATTTAACCGATAGAAACAACGCGAATTCTGGTGCTTCACACCGTCGATCCAGTTTTGCAGTTAATATTTATTTAATTTGTAATTAATTTTTGGCGATTTTATTGCGAAAAGTATGATTAGCACCAAGGAGTCCATATATCTGAAAATTGTCAAAACCCAATAGAAAAAGATAGATATGCGTCCATTAGGCTGCGCGCCTGCTTCAATCAAGTTAGTGGTAAGGAGCCGCCAATAAATCTGATTAGTGATTTGGCCTCTCTTTTTAATCACTGACTTCGCGTTTCTCTTTATCTTATTGTCAATGTAACCAAACAAGTGACATGTTGAAGCGTAGAGGTATTTGCTATTTGTATCGTTCCAAGTTCCAACCCAATATTGTCAAGTGTTGATCTTTGGATTTTGGTTTTATTATTTAATATTTCGGCGAACTGCGACTTAGGTGTAATTCTCTAGTGCTGTATTAGGGAAATTAGTTAGAATGGGTTCAAGTCAAAAGCTTAATTCTGATTTGGCTAAGGAAAGAAGAAAGTGTACTTTCAGCAGTTTGGAATTGACCCACTTGTTGGACGGAGGCCCCAGAAAAACCGCCGATAGAAAAGCCAGAGGTGATTTCTTCATGTTAAACATTAAAATTTTCTTTACGGAAATTTTAAGTAGTCAATGAACGGGAACTAAGCAAATATTAACATTTATGCATTTCCTATATCAGAAAAGTTTTTCCTCGAAGACCCAGAGCTAAGGGACAGAGTACCGTCTGAATATCTAAGTCATAAGGAAAAATATGAAGAAGCTATTAGAAAAGCTTGCTTAATATTCAAAAAAGTCCAACAATTACAGGAGGAAGGTAAAGGTGGAATGGATAACTTCAGGTGGGTAATAAGCTGTATGAGTCTTAATCGATTCGAGGAATTTCAGTGTCATGATAATTCTTAAAATGATTCAATTACATATCAGTTGAAATGAGGTTTATATAGTGGCGAATTATTGCGTACTTCACGTAGTATGTACAATCAGTTTTGTAAACTCCCAAAGGAACTGTTTACCACGATATTTTACATATTATTATGGGATACGTGAGATTTTTATTTTATTTTGTCACGTAGGCACCTCCAATTATTATCCAATATTCCGGTTTTTCCAATATTTACCTAATGCAAAATATAAAGGAATAGAAAAATTGCAACACTCTTTGAGAACACGTTTAAATTTTTTTGTACTTTCATGACGTTATTCATTCATCTGAAGCTAAGCTGAAAAGTTTGGCAAGAGGTACACGAGACTGTTCCGTGACCTTTATCATTGACTTTTGAACTTCTATTTATTTTGCAAAGTGTTTTACCCATTAATCAAATCTAACGACTTTGTTAATGGAACTGATTATATTTCCAATTCAAAGGCCTTAAAAAACAACAATTTTTTTAAATTGTAAAACCAAGGGCATTTTTACAGACCAGTGCGCAATTTTTTTGCCTCAAATCGTTTCTTTATGTATTGAGCATTTCAACTTTCTTTAATTTGCCTTACCCACATTAACGAATCCCCTGTTTGGCTGACAAACTTTTCGGACTAATGTTTTTGATCAAAGTAATATGGAACTCTGATTTCAGGGAGATATTGGGGGGTCAATTAGGTTCAGCAATTTTGGGTGATGGAAATCCTTTGACTTTACATTTCGTGATGTTTATTCCCACTATAATAGGGCAAGGTACTTTTGAGCAACAAGGTGAATGGATTCAGAAGGCTTGGAATTGTAATATTATCGGAACTTATGCGCAGGTATTAAGATTGTAATGCCGCAATTTGGATATCGTGCAGTCCCAATTCTTATTTCAGACTGAATTAGGACATGGTACTTTTATAAGAGGACTTGAAACGACTGCAACGTATGACGTGAAAAGTGAAGAATTTATTCTGAATAGTCCATCTCTCACTGCGTATAAATGGTGGCCTGGCGGTCGTAAGTAATTGGAGGTAATTTGCATGTGCAAGAATTTACCCAAGTTTTCTAGTGGGTCACTCGGCTAATTACGCTGTGGTAGTCGCACAATTATACACTCAAGGGCAATGCCATGGAATTCACCCATTTATAGTTCAGCTTAGAGATCAAGAGACGCACAACCCTTTGCCTGGAATTAAAATTGGCGAAATCGGTTGTAAGCTGGGTATGAATGGCACAAACAACGGATATTTAGGGTTCGAAAATGTCAGAATTCCTCGTTCAAGTCTTCTGATGAAGAACAACAAAGTTCTTCCTGTTAGTAATTTTTTCAGGCACATGCTTCTCGGGTTACTGTGTGGTTATTTTTTAGGACGGCACATATGTGAGCTCTCCCAGTAGTAAGCTCACCTATGGAACCATGATTTTTGTGCGTGTTGTCCTCGTACAAGATGCAGCTACTTACCTAAAAAAATCGGTTACAATTGCTACAAGATATAGTGCAGTTAGGCGACAGTGTGAAATGAAACCAGGGTAAATCCCATTAGTTCTTACAAGCTCTTTGTTATCAGCATCTTTTCTTCAGAGAGCCGGAAACTCAAATCCTTGACTATGTAACTCAGCAACACAAGCTATTTCCCAATATAGCAACGTGTTTCGCTTTCCAATACGCAGCAAATTGGATATGGGATGTTTATAACGACGTTAGTTCACAATTAGAAACAGGAAAGCTTGATAATTTACCAGAGGTTAGAATATTGTGCTGAGTAATGTTTAATTGTATGTGGTTTTGCTGGTATTTTCTTGTTCAGCTGCACGCAACGACTTGCGTCCTAAAATCAGTAAGTACCGCAGATGCAGCATTGGGTGTAGAAACATGTAGGTTAGCCTGTGGAGGGCACGGATATATGACGGCCTCAAATTTACCCTCAACGTACGGGCTGGTTACCGCAATGTGCACGTATGAAGGTGAAAATACAGTGCTCTTACTACAAACTGCTAGGTTCTTAATCAAAATGTGGCAGAACCAAACAAACCTTTCAAATTTACCTACTGTTAGATATCTGAGAACGGCTCTAGATCAGAAAACGCCATTTCAGAAAAATGTCGAATGGATCATTCTAGTTTTGCAAAAAACGTCTGCCAGGTACAGTTTTCTTAAAAAACGACTTCCTGTTTATTTTAACTGAAGGCGTTATTTACAGTAAAATTCAGCTGGCAAATAGCCACATAAACGAAAGAATCAGGAAAGGACAATGTTCCGAAGAAGCGTGGAATAACACTTCAATTGAGTTGGTTGAAGCCGCCGATGTTCATGGTCGCACATTTATTGTAGAGCGATTCTATGAGTCGGTTAAGAAAACGAATGTTACACCGGAACTTCGTTTAGTTCTGGATCAACTAGTCCAATTGTATGCAGTAACCCAGGCTTTAAAACTATCTGGCTACTTATTGCGAGTAAGTGGCTGATACTATTTCACCTGCTTCCACAATTATGCCTAGAACTAGCGTTTATTCAATCTCACATCTCTTTTAGTTTGCAGAACTTAGTGGAAAGGATATCGAATCCTTACAAATATGGCTAGAGGAACTTCTAATTGCGATTCGTCCAAATGCGGTTGGTTTGGTTGACAGTTTCGATTTTCGCGACGAGGTTCTGGCATCTGCTCTCGGTGCATACGACGGAAATGTTTATGAAAGACTATTTAAAGCCGCACAGCAAAGTCCACTGAATGCGGAGCCAGTTAATAATTCCTTTAATTTGTATCTAAAACCCTTTATGAAGTCCAACTTGTAAGACATCGGTTATGCCGGGACGCCGTTACTTTGTATTTTATGCATTCACATGTATTTTATTGCATTTATTATTTTACGCGGGTTTCTTATTCTTCCATATTGTAAGTACCATTCCTGTAGCAGTTATCTTAAATTTTAAATCGCATGAAGTTGATAGTATTCAGTATTTATAAGAAATTGTTTTTCTTCCATATTCCAATAGAGGTTTAATGATGAGCATTTGAATTTATCTCAAAAAATGTTTACATATTCACACACTTTATACATTTATATTTTTACACGAATGTTTGCGGTATGTTACTCTTTTTGTTAAAATTTTTGCTGACATATTCTATTTATTTTGTAGGCCAGTTGAATAATCATAAGTTTATCAGTTGTTATAGGGTCCAAAACAGGTAATACTCTGAAGAAAAAAGTATTTTGTAATGCATCTATCGTATATTTTTCGAATAAATATTGTTGAAGATCACACCTTTTAGTTGCCTTACAACACCTCCTAGTAATTAATAGAAAGGTACAAAAAATTGAAAGTGTCCAATTACTAATTCTAAACCAATAACCCAACAAGTAAAACTATTATGTCACATCAGTATTTTTTGGAAATTTCTGTTTCTGCATTCTTTCACTGGATCTTTAATTTTTACAATATAATTTTATTCATTTTAAAATTTAACCTCTTATTAGGTATATATATCTATCTGTTCAAAAGCAATTTGTCTGACATTTTAGCAAAGGGCTGAAGTTTGATTGGAAATTACATATTTTTATTCCACATTATTGTTGATTGCCACATGGGTGTGTTTGCAGTTAAATATTTTCCAAGTAAATGCAATCTCCATCATTGTTAATCTCTGCGGAAAGTATAAATTATGGTGATAAAACAAGGAAGGCAGTGTCTATTCTACGAGTCTCCAGCAAATGCACTAATACCGTAAATCAATCGATAAGCATTCCGAACTAAAAATCAGTCATGAAACTCTTAAAAATTAAAATGGTCATCCGAATAAAAACTAACTCACTAGTAAACGTTAAGTACTTTTGCAAAAATATACAATAGCGTCTTAAAATGGCGGCCGAACAGATAATTCCATGTTGGGGTAAAACTGTTCATAATGAAAGTTGGAAAAAACGTTAAAACTAATTGGCGGAATATAATGGCTATCTTTGAGATTCTCTAGTGAGGCCACGAGATCCATAAACTTTGGTCTTTCGTCCGGAATTAGCTGCCAACAGTCTAACATTATTTGGTACAAATCATCACTAACATAGCTGAGTTGAGACAACCGCACACCTTTCACCAAGTTTTCCGATATATCATTATCATCAGGAATGTTGCCATATGGAGTTCCACCTAGAATTTTAATATTTGCATCAAATCAACTAGCTTATTAATTATTATTTAATATACCTAATGCCATTATCTCCCACACAACACAGGCAAATGACCACACATCACTTTTCGAATGCTGAGCATTGCCTTTCAATACTTCTAATGCTGTCCATCTAGTATAATCAGGAATTTTGTTATGGCTGAAATACTCCGCTATTCCAAAGTTGCATATTTTTGGTAAATTGTCGTTGGTTATTAGAATACTTCTAGCACAAAGGTGTTTGTGGATTATCTGAAAACGGGAGGAAATTTTAAAAATTTATCACTTGCTATATGTCAGGACGTTTTACGTTTAGGGAATGAAGGTGCGCCATTCCTTTACATATTCCTAAGACGATTTCTAATGCTTGGGTTTCAGTCATGGTGCTAAACTTTCCAGGCAACTTATCTCTGCTCTTCAGCAGTAGAGCTTTGAGATTCAATGAACTGTGTTCCATCACAACCACCACGAGATCACGAGTTTCCGAAGTTCCAATGAGATTTATAATATTTTCATGCTTTCCAGTTTTTATTAGAATATCAAGTTCTTGTAACATTTCTGCAAAAAAAACTGTTTAGTCGCTGTTTCTGTTTTGCAATTAATGTGAGCTTAACTACTTTTGCGGATGTCTTGGTTCATTTTCTTGTCATAAATGCTGTAGCATGTGACTGTAGTCATGCCGTCGTTTTCATGCAAAGTTCCAGGATTGACTTTTCCAAATCTTCCCACTCCCAGCAAATTAGTTGGCTCGATTTTCAATTGATTAGAAGGAATTATTCGAACTTTTTGCTTCAAGTTTCTGTAGTGCGAAATGGCAGGAATGTGTTCTTCTTCATGAATATAACCGTTGTTTTCCTAAACCCACAGGTATGTTTATTCTGGGTACGTTCAAAAAACGTCTGGCTATGACTTACAACTTCAATCATAGGTCCTTGTAAAGTCAGTTCTTGGTTGTCCGTAAGTCTTTGGCGGCTATTATAAATCTTAATTTTTATAATTGCCATCGCCCCTAATATTAACAACAGCGGGATACCTAAAATACCAATTGCAACCCAAAGCACTATTATTATAGTTTCGAAACCTAAAAATTTGTAAATTTTATACGAGAAGCATCTACTTTAATTTACCAACCTGACGTGTCTTGATAAGGGACATTCAGAATTGAAATCCCTTTATAATAGCCACTGGCCTGACTGTAGGCAATTTTAGTTTCACAGTTGAAATTACTTACTATACCACTTAATATGTCATACTTTTCTTCAGGATCTAATGGGGCGTTGTAAAACGAGCCATAGTTCTTACCATCACCAACGTCGAATACTAGACCAGTTATCTGAAACACTTGTGTTAAAACAAATAATCTCTTAGGAATTTGATGTTATGGAACCTTAGGACTGATTTCTGCAGCTATGTAGTAGCTGAGGCCTTGTTCTCGGGATTCTGAATAGGACAAGACGTTATCCTTTTGAAACGCTTGGTTATCGTTAGATTTTACAACTACAATTCTATATGCGCTTATTGGCCCATTATTGTTCATCACTGGCCTCATTCTCACTAATATTGTATTCCCATATTTCCCAAGTACCTCAGGTTCAGGCGGCAGATATTCTGGCTCTGAAGTGTTATGCAGACTTAACAGCAACCCTGTGTATCGGTATTGGCTTATATAAAATTACCTGCCAATTTGGTAATAATTAGTTGATAGGCCCTAGATCCCTCGCCATCACTGGACGATGCAGAAACAGTAATGTTATACCGTGTGGCTGAAAGAAGGTCTGGAATCTCAGCTCGAAACGTGCTATTTCCAAAAGTCCACTGTTGGGAAAATGCAGGGTAACTTGAAAACGTTTTAAGCACGATGGCCTTAACGCTATACGTCCAAATGCTAACATAGGAGTCAGGTGCCGTCCATTCAACCCTACAGCTGTTGGTGGTTATGCGTGTGACCAATAAATTATTCGGCGGTCCAGGTACTAAATCACAATAAAACCCAATGTAGGCAGTGACGAATTGATTGATTGATCCATTATTACCTAAGTTTCCAGTGTTGTAAACATTAGTGAAATCAATTTTGCTCTCACACTTGTTCTTGGAGCAGTACTTATCGCAAGACACAGCGGCTATTTGTTCGCCAAGAAAAGTGTGACAACCACACGATCCGTTGTAAAAGTAAAAATACCTGCCAGAAGAAAGACGCTTTAAGTTGCATTCAAATCGTAGTTTTAATCCGCAAAGTCTGTTGAAAACCATCCTACAATTATCTGGTTCGAAACCGTCATCATTAATATTTATAATTAGTATTAATAAGGGAGTGACCACCAAACAGCTGCATCATTATCCCAGCTATTAGAAATTTACATAATTTCAAACAATTCTGAAATAGTGGCTGAAAGCACATATATTCATGCAGGCTAGACAAATTTTTAAGTAAATCGAGAAAAGACTAATAAAAGAACATAAAGCCCTTTTTGGGACGAGGTGTCGAAAAGTGGACCTAGACGAAACAGAAGAAAGTCTTTTAATCATGATTTATTGTGCAACTCCAACTTCGTGTCACCGGAAGCTTCTAAACAAAATATCTTGAAAATACTGCGAGATACGAGATTCATCAACAATATTTTATGTGCAGATAACATCAGTGACCAATAAAAGGCTGCAAAGTTCGTTATTTTAAAGCACAAAATAATCGTCGTAAGTCGTAATAGCGGAAAAGATAAAAAGTTATTCGAAATAATCGAAAATTCAGTTGATCCAATTGGCAATCGAATTGAAAAATGATGACAAGTATTAATTTAATCGTACATTAAAGCAGATAACACGAAGGAAACTTGTAAAAAAATCAAAGTTCAAATCAAATTCATAGGTATTCAAAAAGGCTTTGACAGTGACCTGAGAAATTTAATTTGGAAAAGTTTGCAACAAAGGGGGAGTCGTAGTGGAAAAGGCAAGGTAAAGGAATACGAACAATCCGTGGACCTCGTGACGATGGAAAGTTTAAAACAGAGGCGATCTAAGCCCTAAGTTATTCAAAATAATAATGGATGTTATACTAAAGGAGACAACGATTAAAGTTTTATAAAATCATGTAGGGTACAGAACTATGGAACTGTAGGCTGTTGAAAACGAAACAGAGTTTAAACATGATTGAGTTTTACGGAAAAGGCGTTAAAAGCAATAGACATTAAGAAAACTGAAGAAATGCTGTTGAGGTATGAAAAGGAAAAAAATGATATAAGTAGACGAGGAGTATAACAGTCGGGCAAAACATATTTGAATTATTGTTCGCAAAAAAATAATTTTCTGTATTTTGGAAGCGAGGCATTTTTTATAATTATTGTCATAGAATCACTTGCGAAATCGCACTCTTAAAAGTTGCTGTTCTTAAACAACCTGTATAAAAAATAGATTAGATTCACGTCTGCAAAGAAGATTAAACAAGTAAACAACAATTGCCGATTTTGCGACATTTTTTTGAGAACAATTCCCTAAATTGCGACTTCACATTTAAATTCCTGCCGCCATTCATAGTAACAATAAACACCCATTATGTAAGCATTTCGCTTCCGTTTACTATTTGTTTAATCAAAACATAATAAGTTGCATATTTATCACTTACTTTATGATAACCCCATAAATGTGTGCGAACTTTAGTTATTGCTTCTTGCAGCATGTGTCTGCACTTGATTACATTTATCTATTTTATGTATGCAAGTGATTTCGATATTGCAATGCTGATTAATTGTTTACGTAACTTGCCACTAAGTTGCTGTTTCTTTCATACATTTTCGCGGACTTGAAATATTCCCGTGGAAATTCGGTAAATAGTAAAAAGAGCAAGTTTTAGTGATTTGTTATTATCAGCAACTTTAATGCAATACATATATAGGACAAACTAAATAATATTTAAAAAAGAGAATGTACGAACATAAATAGTCTGAGAAATACTAGTGAAAATAAAACAGCATTAACACAATATTCACACCAAATGTTACATAATTTTGATTTTGACAACGCAGACATATTAATTAGGGAAACAAATTATCATAAAAGAAGAATTCAAGAAATGATACAAATAAAAAAAACATACAAAAGCAGTATGGACCACTCGGTACACTAGTGAAAAATTAAAACTATTTCTGCTTATCTCAATACATGCATACCACTCTCGCAAATGTAATAATAAAATAATTCAGATAAACTCAAGGTTTTCAAGAAGGCAAAGACCTAAAAGGACGTTGATTTTTACCAATAATGAGGTAAGTTTTTCCGATGTTTTGCTCTTTCAAAAGGAAGAATTTTTTTCCCTCAAAAAGTGATGAATCAAGTTTTATACAACATGTTTTAATTGTGAATTTGTGGAAGTGTAGTTTGTGTAAAATTTTAAATCTGATGATGGCGCTGTTGTCTCGCAGAAACGTTATGAAATAAACGCTTTGACTGAAGCCGAGGAAAGATAGAAATATCATAACAAATACACGCAGTCAGGAAAATAAATCAGAATATTTTTTAAGCCACTTTTATAAATGCTCCTCGCCGCCATGCACTATCAGACAAAAACTTTGAAAAACTAGTGTTATTAAAAGCTAATGGTAATTGGTATCAAATAATTTATATACCTTTTTTTAGTTTTTGTCTGATTGTTATCCAATTTCATAAGTTCCTATGCTACGTATTCTTTTTTTTTTGTAAATATTATTATGTATTGTTTCTGAATGATATTAGATGTTTAACAAAATATTTTTTGTAGCTTGGTAAATATAGTACATACATATATGATTTATCTGTGATGTTGGTGTACTATAATATGGCAGTTGAGAAGTTAAATACTAATACTAAGTAACTAGCTAACCCAAACTAAGTTTGTGTTCTTAAATACTTTTTTGTATTTAAATACTTTACTAAAAGTATTTGTTAACTAATTACCGGCATATTATAATTAATAATTAGTAGTTAATTACTTTTTTAAATGTTGACAGTATTTGGTAATTGTATTTAAATACTTTTTAAAAGTAATTTGTCCAGCACTGCTCACAACTTAGTTGTTACTTTGATCTGTAAACTGAACGCCTAGTGGAGCTCTTTTTAAAGACAAGAGTTGAGCTTGAGCTATTTAGGTGATACAATCAGCAATATGAAGACACTTACCTGTAAAACGCCTCTGAGCAAAAACTTTGGCAAGAAGTGTATGTCTCCACTGTCGTCAACGGTAACCGTCTAAGTGGAGGAATATTTTTGAAACAACCTAATGGCTCGGTGTAAAAGCCATGTATAGCAGCAAAACATGATATGAGTAAATACAATAATTTATTCATGTTTCTGCTGAGATATCACTGGTCATTCCAAAGCCACGAAAGGGTCAGTTATGCATTTTCAGGGTCTTCGACCATGCCTAAATCTACTCAACACACTAAAACCCAAATACAGCCTTAAAACACATTAATCGTTTGATCGATTTTGTCGGGCGTATCTTTCGAAAGGCCTACAGATCTGTGTATTTTCGTTAGCAGTTTCGAGGTTGTAAACTCGACAAGCGATGTTATATTTGACAACAGTGAAAAGGCCATTGAAAATACCAATTCCATGTCTTGTCTTCTTCTGTCTCTTATTTTGTACCGAAAATTTCATAAGGGGTGGCGGTCGATTTTTTGAAAAAATAAAAATTCTTTCGAAATGCCACGACTTCTACATCATTTTGGATTTCACCATAATTGGAAGCGCTGAACTAATAAAGCCACACCACAACTTATAGATCAAATCATATTTAACACGGTGGACATCAAAATCGAAAATGTTGAGCGCATTCACCACTTCCAAAGACTATGAATTTTCAATGATGAGCAATTCATGATGAGAATTCATTCAAGAAGGAATTATCTATAATATTATGATTAACTTTGAATGCGAGGTCATGATGAACTGAATTCCTAGTCACTCAAAATAAATTTCTAATTTTCTTCAATTGTTAATTAATGTGTTTGCTTTCACCTTACTACTACTTACTTACTTCACAAACCGACTACTTTTTCACGTACAAGTTACTTTTTTCCAGCGCCTCTATTTTACTAATTAGAATTTTTCGTCCTGCTTGGCAATAGGTCGCATATGCTCTTTGCGTCATGTGAATCATAGATAAACACTGATGTGAATCGCGTCCTTAGATGGGAAATGTACGTAAAATCATTGTGCCGCTGAAGGAAGTGCGTCCTGCCTACTTACAAAAACTGCAGAATTAAAGTTTCCAATTCGGAGTTTGTGTTTAAGTGGCGTGTGGACTCTTAGAATTAATGGGCAAAAATGGAGGATGGGGCGCCAGATTGACGAATGACGGTCAGAAATGATTTCTAATCTATAAATCTCTTAGTTTGAACTGAGTTTACGTTTTCGAAAACCAACTGAATTTTTAGGCATCTTTTACATTTCTGCTTCTCTTAATTTTTTTTCAAGTAAAGATTATTTGAGTAATTTTTTTCCGGCAAGTGCCTAACGGTTTGCGAAAATTGTTTAATGCTTTATGATGGTATACATATATGTATTCCTTTTGATTTTTTTTTTTTTTAAAACTCAGTTCGCTCAATATGCCACAAATTTTACTTCATTTTTGTGGCAATACAGCTATGACGCGAACGAGCCCACACGATAACGCGCTAGAGGACTCTGTCGATTCCACTTCGATATTTAATCGGCGAATCGGCTCTATTGTGGTTTTAAACATTGCGAATTGATGAAAAATGTGGAAATAATGGAATTTGACCATTATGAATTTGCAACAATGCAAACGGCAAAATGTAACAAATGTATTAAATGAAATAACACTCCCCAGTCCTGATTAACAATTTTTTATTTAAAGTTTTAATAATTAACTCGTTTATTTGTTACATATATTGTAATATATCTAGCAAACCAGTTACCTATATAGAGTTATTTACAGAAAGTAGGCGCAAAATGAATATCTGCACCTTGGTCATGTATCATAAACACACAAATGTACTAAATATACTAAGTATCCTTCTAGGACGTATAATAGATACATAAATATTGTGTATGTATATAATTATGCTTTGTTAATTATTTACACAGAGATGGGATTACTGACACTGAGAGTTGTAAAATCTAGCTTTTTATGTTTTACACTTAGGTATATGTGGTATTAAAAACTTTCAATTCCAGTTCTTAAATTCAATTATTACAAAATAAGGATGACGAACCGAGGGATTGGAACAGTTCGGAAAAGGAACGATAAGGTCTATTTAAAAACTCAATATTTTCGGGGTTTTTCTTTTATATCAAATAATAAAAAATATGGCTCTAGACGACATTTAATGGTATTTTCGATACAATCGTAAGCAATATTGAAGGTTTTCGGTTTGAATATTGATTTTAGTCAATATATCTAGAATAATAATCATTATTTTTGCCGAGTTCGTAGAAACTGCCTTAAAAACAATAAAATTCTGGAGTAGTATTAAATAGCCTTCAGCTCTTTAATTGGACTACCCCAGCACGGGGAAATACGAAAAATATGTAAATTTCATAAGAAATTATGACCTGTGAAACGCAGAAAATATTGAGTTTGATATAAAAAATCAACCTTAATAAAACTCTTTGTTAGGGTTGGTGTCAGAAATCTAAATACTATTTTTCCTTTTTCAGTTTCCTTTAAAAAATTCTACGGAACATTCAGTTACAGTATTCGGTATTTGTACATTCAGTAAATATATTTACGAAAAGACATTGTAAAATTTATAAACACATACTTAATTTTCAACAATAAAATATATACGCACCATATACAAGAATCGACCTCTCTCTGCGTTCTATTTTAACAGTATTCTGTGGAAGGTTAGAATCAAATATTGAACCATTTCCTATTTTTCTATGTACAGTATATCTCTCTATTCATATATTTCTGCTGCATGTCCAATTTGAAAATCAAGATTTACATTTATAACTTACGTTTACAAGCTCAGTAGATATATATGTATACCTAAACCATTAAAGATTTTTCTGGATATATGTTGGTAGTATGTAGAGTTGTTAAGCATTTACACAAAAAATATTTAGTTTATAAAAATATTCGCTACTCGTATGGAAGTTGATAATAATGCTTATGCGATAAAGTATGTATCTAGTATCGATGAAAATGGCCAACAAAATGTAATGAGTCGTGTGGGTTGGGATAGATGATTTTATGCATATCTTCGTCATCTCCTGAAATTTGTTGCCAAATTTCGCTCGTTGAGTTGGCAAAATTTTCAGTCTTTTGCTGAACGTTATTTGATTTCAAAACGAACTATTTCTTTCAGTATGATTTCCAATCTGTATAGAAAATACTGCTAATAGCCATAAGTTATTTTCAGTTTTTGGAATAAAAAATACACACGCTTTAGAGTGAGTTTCTTACAAATGCCATCCAGTTTCTGTATTTAGTATGTCCTGTTATAAGTTGAAAAAATTCATATCACTTCTTGTTAATCTACGACAGTCTTGATTTCATTGGTCCATGCACATCATCTTTTGATATGGTATCACTTTTTCGATGCAATAGCACTTTGCTATATCGTAACTATCAATCCTAAATCACCCAATTTTGCCACGTTACACTATCTAAAAACTATCACTGTTTAGATTTCCAATCACCTGAGCAAAGACCACAAAGTCGCTATCACTAGAAGAAGAAATGAATTTGATGACTTGAAATGGACACCTGCTGTTTGAACGGCCGCCGGCAATTCACCTGAAATATAAAATAACCTCATCATACATGCATTTGCCGGATTTTTAATTGGAAAAGTGCTAGTTTAATACGGTCGCAGACGTCCAATAGCTTCATGATTAATGTGTAAATCCCTTAAATCCATTTCTTATTGCTTTCTGTCAAGATAACACCTGAGAAATAGGGTTTAAGACGCTAAGGTTCAGAAAAGCTTGGAAATCTGAGATTTAATCTCCAGATATTTAAAACCTGCCGCATATTGTCCGAGATTAAACCAAAATAAAAAAATATTTAGCATCAAGGAAAGAAATAAAACATTTATTCTCGAGTTATTTGCTTTTTCAATTCAAATCCTGCAAGGTCTTGTGTTTGAAAGAGTTTTCCAATTCAATTGCATCAAAGGTCAAGCTTGGATTGATTGGATTTTTTATTTAGCTGTTTTATTTATTTAAATAATTCCTATAACATAAATTTTATTCATGGTTTATTATCATTTTCTGAATTAAAGCAGTTAAGACAGATTTAAATAAAAACAGCGTCTGAAAACCAAGCACATCAGCAAAATTTCAATTTCGTGTAAAAAGACGGGAGGATGGATTTTTGCTCGCATTTAAGTAATATACTTCAAGCCCCCTCTTAATTGACTAAGGAAATTATATTGAAAAATCTAAGTGCCTTCTGCATGAAATATCAAATTCAAGTAGTAAGCTTTACGCTGAACATCCCGAATGATGAATTACTTTGAGTATTGAAATGCTGTTTAGCGATGACGCTTATTTTGAAATACACTGTCTCAAATGCAGTTGATGTTATAACTATTGCATGCCGCTTCATGCTGTACTATTATTTAGGTTCATATTTCGTTACTAATATGTCGTTTGCTCTCGGCTCGGAATTGCACTGTATTTAATCGAGCACCATTGGGAAATTAGTTATGCGTTACCCTATTAGCTCGAATGACTACAAATAGTTTAAAACAGTTAATATGTACCAGCTCTAAATGATCGGCTTCTCATTTCTAAGCGGCTTAAGGGCATTGAACATTTCGAAAATCTATAGGTTCAGAAAAGTGAAATTTCCAACAAACAAAAACACTCCCTGACTCGTCTTTTCGTACGTCATTCTTTAAAAATAAAGTGGCGTACATTGTTATTATAAAAAAATTTGCAACTGAAGTACCTCCCTGCGTAAATCTTTATATCATATTCAATATGGCACTAATAAAGGGGAATAATAAACTGCAATATAACTTAATTAAAGAAGACCTTAATGTCTTAAATCTCCTGCGTAAATCTGCTTAGGTACCCTTAATGAAATTCGTTATAGTAAATCGCTAGAGTTTTGAAAGGTTTGCCAGGAAACCATGCCTCTTAAACAATGTAACACACAAAAGAATCAAACATGAATGGGTAGGTGATACGTAATCATCCCCAGCTTATCGCCTTTATAAGGTATATGAAGCTTTCCTAATCGATGGTCTAAGCCATTTAGCTGCAGGATGAAGCAGGAAAAGTGACATAGTGATAAAATCAATGCCAGGTTTCTGATGCTATTATGCGGACCCCAAATGAACTTTATCACAAATGATGAGAGTTTAAAATAGTTGGAATAGAAAATTTGGTCTTACCATTCAATACGTGCACAGCGACGGTCGTTTCAGCGAGATTTCCAACAGAGCATGTATAGTTTCCTGAATGAATCTTTTCTAATGGCGTTATGGTTAGCGTGGACACTGCTGAACTTGTTTCCGCTGTTACATTCAATCTGAAAGTAGATTCCATTTAAAAAAAGCTACTAAAGTATGTGAGAATCTTTCATACCCACATTAAAATTGTGATTGCCTTTTACTGCCCGTAAAATATGAAGCTAACACATTTTGATAAAACGTACATTGTAAACTTTATTACTCTCACCCATACAAGACATGTCTGGTCAAAAGAAAAGTGAGCTATAATTTTCATCCATCATTTTAAGTTTGTTTAACTTGTAAAGTGACGTTACACAATTCTAATCGAATGTTATTTTTACGGAAACCGTGTTTTATTCCGAAATATCTGAAGTATCCAATAGAACACCATGTTTACCATACTGTATACAACATCCATCATTTCGCATGTAAACATATGGGGTTATTGGATTTGCGTTTATCATTGGACAGGACTTAAAGTAGGCACTTCTGAGGAGAATTGGTGCATAGATTTTGCAAATACTCGACACGTGCATTTTCTGTCATAATATTTTACGTGTCCTCAGAGCAAACGCAACGGAAAAGACCAAACGGTACATAGAGCCACTGAAAAAACCGCACTTCGGCTTATTACAAAAATAAAACATCCCCAATACCCACTACACAATCCTTAAAACGAATTACTAGATATACGAACGCACAAACATGACAAAGATACCAGAAAAACGGATACAGTTACAGACAAAATGGGAAAACAACTCCCACAGCTGGACGCTTACAGAACTCCTTTGTTTTACAAGATGTGGCAAACAATACCGTCTTTTTCCCAAAAATGACTCTTCTAGAACACCTAGAAGCACAACCGAACTAAACAAAAGAACGATCAGATACGAACAAGCCTAAATGGCAAGATTTATAGATTTTGCGAAAGAAATAAATATGTTTGTTACTATTTTACGTGTTTTGATCGCTTACTGTGAAAAGGTTCACCATGCGGGATAAGTCGAAAAAAAGCGCGAACGCAGCATAAAAATCCTTTCAAAGCTCTGTGAGTTTCTTCAGAAGGTGCGTTCAAAAATTGTCTATTTTAGCTTTCGTCATGAAACGCAATTGAATCCTTTGTAAATTTTTAAGTTTCATAGCGTAGACAAAGTCATTACATTTACCATAATCTGGACACCGCACTGTTTCCTTTAAGGAGTTATAGATACTTTTCTCAAAAGCTCTAAATATTCTTTATTCGGCTACTTGGCGAAGAAACTTTGTTTAAAATTTATATTTGGGGAATTTAGAAATACCAATTTAGTTGCTGCGAGTTAATTTTTTTAGGTTCACTCCGGCCTGTAAGTCTAAGAGATTAATTATTTAAGTATTTCAATGTACTGTTGAAAGCCTTGGCAAATACATCAGTAGGTGACGTGCCAGTTTTGCATTTCTATTTTACGCGAAAACAGTAAAGCGTAGCGCAAAGGTTAAATAACTTTGGCAGAACTAATTATATTTGGTTCAGAAAACATTTTCTGCAACACCCATTTAGGTTGAGGGTGTTTCAATATTTATCATTCAATTGTTCAACGAGCACAACCGCAGCGTGAGAACAATGCATAACTTTCAAATATCAATGTTTAAAAGGGATTATATATTGTAGGGAAACTAAAAACATAATTCATGAGCAGTCAAAGCTGCTACTTTTAGTTCGGTTGAATTCAGAGCCGATTTGAATTGTTGCCCTAGTTTAGGCCTCTATAAACCATAAATTGTTATCCTTAATTTAAATCCGTTTCGAACGTCTTAAACTACTGGTTATAATCGAGGATTCTATATTCAAAGATTTTGGAATTATTTGGGTGTGACCAAGACAAATGGATATAATCAACATAATTTAATGAAAGTTCCTTCAAAATTTGCCCAACTCCGGCGAATTAGCCACTTTATTGTTGTACATTGTCAGCTTTATGAATCCACGTGGAGATATTGCCTAGACTGTGTTAAAAAAAAACTTCCTGCCCTTGAAGTGTGCTTAAATCAGACTTGCTAGTGATGTTAACAGAAGCGGCACAACATTATCTAATTAATAATAAACATTTTTACAAGCATGCAATTATTTTCATGCGAAGAATTGTATTCATTCTGAGGCAGGTAACCTTAGTGAGACCCGCGGTAAACTTTTGGTTTATCATTTATCATAATAATAATGTCTTTCGGAAAAGGCTATCAACCAAATCAGCTTTTCTGCCTCTGCATTTACCTTTTTTGTGCGTGGTATGATGTTGATTGCAAAGTTTTTAAATGAAAACATAGGTATAATTATGTGTTTTTTTTATACAATTGTTTAGTTGTGCTAGTATGATGCCGTGAGTTTCGCGAGTTAGGTTTTTCAGCGTTTTTTTCCCGGCGCTGTATTTTTCATGTGTGTTAGTGCTTTGCTTAATTATTCACATTTTGGGGCAAATAAATACAAATTACTTTGGTTGGTTTGCTTTTTGTAGTTTCAGAACTTAATTGAATGCATTCCTAGTCAGGCGAGAAGGGACTTGTTAAATTTCAAGCAAGCACATTCAAAATGTGTATGCAAAACAAAGTTATATTGCACAATAAAATTACGAACATAAATGCTTATCTCTAGCGTTTCCTCAACAGAGAGTTTTATTTTCATTTTATGGTGTTGTTCGCTTAATTCTGCCGTTTTGGTACGGATTCCCGCCCGTTAAGTGTTAGTGGAAAACATTGCTGCTAAAGTAAATATTAACTGAAAAACAAACATGCGACATTATTTAAATTTATTATTATGGACTCAGTTATACTAATGAATTTGGTATTAAGGTACTTTCAACAGAGTCATTGGTGCGATGCAAGTTTTGATAAAGCCGCAACGATTTACTTAATTCAGTGAATCAGTATTTAAAGGTAGGTTTTAGGATTGCTTGAATTTCAAAATGTGATCCTAAACAGTAGGATGCGCTTGAATGCTCTCTAAAACTGAACTAACGCAAATATCCCCGGACAGTTGCACTTTACATTGATTTGCGCTAGTTGCAGCTAGCAATGTTAGCGCTTCACGTTTAGTTTACTGTACATTTAGTAACCGCAAGGTATCTCTGGAATTAAAGTTGCTTTAAATGCCCCCTTTAACTTACATTCTTGAATTTTTGTATCCGAATAGCATAATGAGTTTTTTTACTAAATCCTTGGCATAGTTGCAACGAGGAGGCGGCTGATGAGCGAGGATTTTAAATTTCAACGGTTTAATTGATTAACGCGCAATTAATTACTTCCAAAGACTGGGTTTCTGCACTACCTTCAACATCTTTAATTAAGATTTTTCATAACGTTTTTCTATAATCGATAGCAAGAACTGCAGGTCTCTGTTCATTAATATATTCTTTGAAGCGTTAATTAAAATTTTCTAGCAAAAGGGCATTAGCAAATTAACCGGAAAAGAACCAGCAGATAAAAAATATTCTGTTGGAAACGAAGTGATGGGTTTGCATGTTTGGGATAGGATTTTAATATTTTCTCCACACCGATGTTTCGAAACCAGTTCCGAGGAAAAAAACAAAAATAATTTATATTTTCAGGCAGTCATTTTTACGATAAAGCTAAATCAAATAAAACAATTGAAGAATATTCCACAAATCCAGCATTTTCAGCTTCACGGCCTGATATATTGTCGAGCTTCCGCAGTATGGCCTGTTTATGGCGCCAGGAAGTCGTGTTCAGTTTAGTAAAGGCTTAAAAAACAAATGAGAATATATCATCTACTAAAACTTACAAACTAACCGTTGACTGACTAATGTAGACCTAGATGATTTATGGGAAAATCGTCTTTTAGATGCTAAAACTTACTTAGGGCCTTCGCTGGAAAATACGTTTTGGATAGCTAACACTCAGAAAACTTCGTTCGCCTTTTTCAGCGAAAGTTCGTGATAGTGGTTCTTTATTAATGAGTAGGTGGAATATTGGAATTTTACTTCAATATCTTACTCAAGTGACTGATCCAATCTTTAGTAGGATTTCCTAGAGTTTTGTTTCCACATTCGAAGTGACCTAATTTCAGCACAGAGCCATTCGAGATTAGTTCATTAAATGTACAGCGTCGGTAACAAACACCTATAGCAACCGAGAACTATTTCTGATCCCAACAATGAGTTATCCTCTGCCAGAAACTTTCATTTATCATCAGAAATATTGCTTCTTAAATAAAGTGAAATGCCCAAAGCCATTAATTTCAAATTTATCTGGCGGGTCAAAATTTACTTCAGACATTTTAAGATGGCTAGGTTTAATAATCTTTACCCTAATAAATAATAATTCTCTAATATCGAGATGTAGCAAAGGGCGAGGACGTAATACGGAAAGTGGTATATTTAACATCTCTTAACATTTTATACCTACTATCTTAGAAAACCCTAATGACATTTTGAAATTTCAACAGAAATTTTATATTGCTGCTCACCATTTTTTGGACTTTGCTAGTGCTGCTTAATTAATTACGTAAATAGATAGATAAAACTTTATCTGTTGGGCACGCCTTGATTTCATAGGCGTCCTGTATTTCCCAATTAAATATTGGTATTTACGATTGTCCCAATACTAACAAATGATTTTCGATATTCGATTATACTGAAATATTACCGAATAACGTTTTATTTAATATTGCCCTTTAATATCTGCATAGCTTATTTAAATTTACCGTCAACACTAATAAATAAAAACACAAATTTAATCACACAAAACAGAACCGATTTTTCATTTATTAAATTAATTTTCGTACGGCCAGTATTAATTATATATTATTTTATTGCCGCTTTTTGTAGCACTCATGAAATTGAAATATTTTGTGTGGCGAAACGTAGTTAAATCTCCATATTCGGAAATATTTGTATACGGATACGAGTGTCACTTAACAGGACCTGTTCTAAATGGAAATAGATATATAAATTATGAGTTTTTCGGCGTTTAATTAAATATAACTCTGTATGTATCTACATGCTTAAAAAATTAATTTTCAAATGCCAGAATGATTGATTGGAATTATGTTCCTTTGAGCTTCCCGCGTAAAAGAAGCAAACATTCACGATGTAACAGACAAATGCTTTTCCAGCATGCACTTTGGGCAGGAATTTTTCACCATTACGTTTTACACTTGAGTCTGTGTTTTTTACATGAAAATTAAACCTTAAACTTCAAATATTTATCACGCTGTTCTCTAGTATTTATTTTACTTGGCCAGAAATTGGAATAATCACCTTACCTCTGGAGGAAATTTGTAATTTCTTCTAGTAAGCTAAATAATGACTTTTATTACAATCTTGAAACAATATGAACAGTTTGTTGTCTAAGTAAATACGCCCTTGTAGCGGCAACGTCATGTTTGTGTCGAATTTCCTTAAGGCGCTGATTTTCTTTAAAAACGACTTACTTATCTTTATCTTTCCATTAGACTCCTAAGGTTTTTTCATCATTTCCTTTATTTGGCTAAGGAAATCTCACGTTTACCCAAGTTTTTTTACAACTCCTGTACGAAATGGGAAGACGTAAATATCTGCTTTATTTTTCAAGCACGTAGTGAAGGATCAAGTTTTACTAGGTTTATGATCCATCATATTTCAGTAAGGGCCCTGCATCGTGTTTTATTACATCTGTTCATACCTAGATCTATTTGACTATTACAATTTTATAAATCTCATTTTTAATTTGTCACAAATCACCTTAAGAGGATAATCAGATATATTAAAATCAATCCAGTCTTGTCATTTTTACTCTTGTCGTTAGCTCGTTTCCAGTTGATACCAGTCAATGTTTAAAAATAAACATCAATTTCAAATTTACTGTTATTGTTGGTATATTATTCCAATAGGTTTTCTGACAAAATTTGTCTGCATTTGTAAGCACATTTATGTCCCAAATGGCCATTAAAGTGTCCCTAAATCTCGATTCTAACCCTTAGTTCTTGTTCGGTAAAAGTCTTCCGGATCAATGAAAGAATACAATTTAACTCCAAGGATATTACCCTTGGTTGTGTTTTGTATGGATAATAAAAATCTAGGCGGCAGTGTTATTTTCTCTGAAATGCGTTCTGCAAATGCATTTTCTGGGACTTAACGAAATATGGAAGTTGAAAAATTATTTTATACCTGCCTCTCACAAACACAGCAATTTGTTATTAATATTTAACAACTGGGAATCTAGCTGCGGTCCAATCTCATGTAGCAAAAAGAGTACTGTTCCGTAGATGCATTCCACATACTTAAAATACGTTAACTAAATGGCGCGGATGTTTCAGCGTGCTCTAATCTTCTCTGCGGTTACAGATTGCTTTTTAAAACATAATCTTTAAATTTAAGATTTAAATTTAATTGTACAGTATTCTCTATTCGCGATAAAATGGCAAAGTTGTCCCGAATAAACTCATCCGATGCTTTTGTTCACCAAAATATTATTTTATTAAAATCTACTTAAACAGCCATAAATATACTAGAAATTTCTACTAACCGCTTTGTTGGTGATCACATGGAGATTTTATCTATGTGGTTGATTGTACATTTATATTTTACATCTTTCTAATTAAATATTTACATTTATTTCCATCCAAATGTACGATTGAAGGCTCAAGTTTTGCAGAAAAATGTGTTGGTAGTTGTCGAAGATTTAGGGCTTTCTTGATTGCGTAATTCCGCCATAACCCAATGCTTTGTCGAAGTTTCACCCGATAACGTTAACATTAAACGGTTCTATTCAATTAAATTTGCTTCCAAACAGCTTTTATCCGAGATCGTTAATGCTCAACCCTGGTAGCAATACGAATAACGAATTCCCTATATTTTGCCAATGCAAATCACCATCATTACATCAGCTCTCCAATGTCTTGCCTGCTATCATTTTAATAAGACGCAGAAGTCGCATGATGTTTTTGTTTTGCGGACCTGATTTTACGTCTGAATAGACAAACTGATTATTATTGAAAACGTTCTTTCAGTACATGTTTCACATAATGGGGCCACTCCAGTCAAGCTTAGGGACATAGTTTTCTGTTATTGCTTGCCATTAGGGAGACAACGTTAGAAATATCAAGTCAACTAGTTAATTAGGAAATAATTTGTATATTAAAGCGCTGATGTTAATAAAACGGCGGACTACCAACATTTTCCTTGTGACTTGCTCAACATTCAAGACGCTTGATAAAGTTAAAGAACCATTAGTTCGGGAAAGTATATGTTAATTTACATTATTTTTGACTAAAATGGTATGGTTCAGTGCAATCGGTGTATAACGCCATTAGCATAAAACGTAATGTGATAATTAGAGCGAAAAACTTAAAAGTTTATTCGAAAATCCTGAACTTTACTTCTGGAATACTGATGTTTAGCAATACGCAGCATATCAAAGTTTTTTACCAGTTTTAACTAACATTTACAGTCTGTCTGGATCTAAAAACTAACTAATCATCAACCAAAAAAAGCTTTCCATATAACCGTTACTCGTTTCCAATAAACGGTATTTTCTGCACGCTGGCTCAGCCGATTTCAGTTATTTTATTTTGGTTCGTGTCCAGTTTGGTCTTGCTCTGTGCTTGTTTAACTTATTAGAGACGCAATTAAATTGTACCCGGCTGTTGCACTCAAATGTTTGAAAAATGACCGGAATAATCAATAGAATGTTAATAGGTATATCGTAATTTTAAATATGGGTATATTTGTATAATTAAAAACAAACTTCCATACTCATACTGGCAAAATTAAGCTCATTGAAAAATTGAAAGGAGTTAATGGTGATGAAACGTCCCCATTACATAAAGTGATATGAATAATTTTTGCGCTTACCTGCTTCCCTCGCTTAAGAGGTTCTCGCCATGTTTCCAGCTTATTATATCTGTATCCGGTTCGTTTTCAGAAAAGCCGACACTTGTGGCCAAACAGGTCAAAAGCAGCGAGCTGCCTTCGTAATAATACCTTTCGTGCACTTCCCTTATGGATTCATCCACTATTTTCACTTCGGGAGCTGCGGAAACAAAAATAAATCGTATTATCCAACAGGATTTTTTTTTTAAGAAAATTTGTGTTATGGACCAGATTGGCGGATTAGCGAAACGGATGGGCATCATTCTAACCAATTTTCCAATACAACTTTCCAGTTGGCAGTAAATTAGGAATATCCATTATTTCCGTTTCATTGTTTACGACTTTCAATTTTTCACCTTTAAACGATCAATAATGCCTGCTGACAAAATTGCGAATACAATGGATCTAACTTCTGATATAAATCGAAAATCCCATTTCGCGTAACCGACTAGATACTCCAAACCTGTAAAACACTGATAAAACAATAGTAGATTGGAGTAAAATGCTAATAAATCGTTGTAAAAATAAACGGACCAATACTTATTCGCAGCGAAATTGATATTTATAGTTTTTTCGTTGCTAATTCTTCCCTGAATAGTCTAGAGCGCCAACGAGGATATTCATGTTCAGTTTTAATCAAAGGAGGATATTAACATTTGAGTATAAACTTTCAAAGTTTTAAGGGAAAAGATGAAGGTTTGGGCACTCTTTCCAGCAGTGTCGAAAGGTCGGATATTCCGTTGTGATCCTCTTGGAAATAACTTTCCCTGTTTCAGAAAACGTAGTACTAATCCTTGTTTCCTTTTGATATTATTTTCCTCTTAGGCAAGTGGTCATTCTTTATGTGTTTTTCGTATATCAACAAAAACTGTTCAGCTGGTTTGCGGCTTACTGCCTGAACAAATCTTTTTTGCGAAATGAAAACATCACCTAGGGCTTGTCGGTCGGTAATCTCTACGTACAATCTCTTAGAAGTTAAGAGCGCTTTATCTTTGAATGTGAGATATTTTCGAGAATGTTTTGAATAGATCTAGTTCAAATAGTTCATCGATTGTTCTCTTGTGGCACTTCAAGACTCAAACTGTATTAAATTCAAAACATTTCAGTTTTCATGCGCTTCTAGCGGGGCAAAACTGTTTTTCCTAAGTTTCGCTAAGGAATTTGCATTTGAAAAGCTCCGGGAGTCTTATTTAAACGGACGCCATTTCGGCTGTAAAGCATTTCTAGATATTAATGCAGATAAGTGAATTGTCTATCTGTTTGCACAATTGAATTCTGATAGAGTTTACTTTTTGAAAGCTCTTTTTTCTTATATCAGAAGTTTGAAATTTTATTTCAAACCAAAACCGATCATTTTTGAAGTTCAGGTAATCTTTTAACACATAATGTTCACAGCGTATTTTTTTCACTTGTGCTTTGCAAAGTTAATTAATGTATTATTATCATTTCTAAATTGATAATAATTAATTAACCCCTCTGGAAAATTTAAATTGTATTACTCAAATATACTCCGATGCTATCCTTGTTTGCTGAGGCCTTTAAGGGTTAAACATAATTTATTTAATTATCACTGTTAAAAAATTACAGATGGCTTATTTACTCATATTGTCGGAGAAAATTGAGTTGTTGTTTTTGAGAATATTTAGTACAATTAGTAGGGTATTAGACTTGTGCGTTTTGGGTTAAGCAATAAATTTTACATTCTATTTTCAAATGTTTTACGAACAAGCTCATAAATTTAGGTAAATAAGATAGAGGATACGAATATTTAAATAATACATAATTCATCGGCATACGATGTTGTGTTACAGTATCTGTGTACATTCTGGATGTTGCTTTTAACAGTGGCAAATACCTTTGCATTAAAACGCCTGAAAAAGCACCATTTTAGCAATTAGATATTTATCCCGGACTCTCTACGGCTTATTCGAGTTCCCATGATATCGGCCCTTCTCATTAAACATTTAGCAGAAAAAACTTGCTTGATGTATGCTGGAGACAAAACTATATTCATTTTTCTTTCCTTGTTGTTGAAACACTTTTGGTGATTAATAACGACGTCTTAAAAGCCCAAAAAGTGGTCAGGAAAACGCATTTGGAACATTCATTGAACGCATATCCAAAAAAGTATCCATACAGTGCTGCAGTAGCTTTTATAAATAAAATTCGCCACTAAGTATCGCAACAGGTTTAACGAGTTTCCTGATAAATAGCTTTTATATCCCTGGGCATATATCATTGACCAGCGGAAAATAACGAATATCATTGGATGGGTTTAATATTCAGGCTGCGAAAAAAGCGCTTAAAGCCGCATGGCGATAAAATTTTCTTGGAGCTGTTATGTATTCAACCTTTTGTTTTAGTTTAATGTTCCCCATTTGGGTCTAAAAAGAATATTACAGTATCCGTAGAGGTTGGAAGCATAATTAAAATGAAAATAGTGAACTCATACAGTGTATCAAAAGAGTTAGACTTGTTGACCGCGAGAATTGCTTGAAAGTGCTGAGTTATCCGGGATGTATAAACTGTCGCGGGAAATAATTTCTTCACAAAGATTACGCAAGCTCGACTGACTTTCATCTTCAAAGGTGGATCTAAAGATGCATGGGGTTATGAAACGTCGGGAAGAAGTTCTTTTTCGCGAGAGCCCAAAAGCCGGAATAACTCATCAGTTTCAAGCAATGGCGACGAACGCCTAAGTTTTTAGATAAATGATATTTAATACCGGGGAGTTCGTATGGAAATATCGAAAAGCTTGTCAGTTTCTTGTAGTGTGGTTCACTTTTCTTTTCATGCAAAGCGCCTGCCGTGCTTGTTAATTTGAATCTATTATATTTGATCGAGAAGCTTTCCTACATGCAGTCATAGATTATTGATGAGCTTTATTGAAAGCTAAGTCTGTCTGTTGAATAAAGGAATTCCATTTCGAACTTAATTGTGGAAAGGCTGGCATACGTGTGGAAATTCCTGGAGGCAAAAGTTCTTTGACATGGGTATTCGCTAAAGAACATCTTCCAGTAATGTAGTCTGCATTTGCTAATTTATTAAATTTAATTACCTAGTTTAGTATGTCGAAATGATATTCAATTCAAAATTGGGTCTTTGCAAACGCCAGGAATGATTCTAAACTAACAATAGCATTTCTAAACGTGTCAAATTCGGTAGAATCGGCCCTTTTGTTAACATTGAAGTCGTTTTGTTCAAGGCTCTATTTTATTTTGCCTGCAACTAAATGTGAGAATTGTATTTTTCTGTATTTCCTCACCTCCCGTGAATTGCCACGTAATTACATTATTATTGATTTTCATGAAAAAGGGGCATTTAAGAGATGATTTATTGATGTTACGGTTTCTGATGGGATACAGGGTCAATGGAAATTAATGAAATTGGATACACTTTATAAACATTTAACTGGACATTCATTATTCGTTGCAAAAGTTGAAGACATTTTAAGAAAGATAATTAACAAAGCTTGCTTTTGGGTCAAACTTATTGTGAGGGGCTGATTGGTCCTTCAAAGTAGTTGGAAATAATATAAAAATAAAAGTATAGCCCAAGTAGCTGAATTGCTTAGAATAGCCTTGTATCAATATTTATCAACGAGATCGGTTAAATAACATATATTGGCTTATTGCTGAAAAATTGATGTTTTTAATTACCTAATCTATTAATCAGGCGTTCTGTACGTTGGATATGAAATGAAGATAAACCTCTATCTGTTTCAATAAATACTTGTAGTCAAATCAATACAGCATTTATTGTTAATTCAAACAAGGTCAAATGATTATAAGAAATAATTAAGTTTCAGAGACGCTCTAACTTCGTTTACTTCTGTCATAACCCAGCGCTTATGTGAATAATGCTTCTAGTGTTTAAATTACATTACTGGATAGACAAAAATAACTTTTACACTCCGGACCCTCGTAAAGCCATGCCAAGCTAAACTTGTCCCAATTTTCGACAATTTAATTAGTTTAATTTTACCCTGGTTTTTCTGCTTACTACTGTCATAGTCATTTATTAGTTCGAAGTTAAATGCTTTTCCAAGTACTTAACTTTAGTAGACTCTAATTATTGTGCCGTCAAAATGTCAGCGCTATAGAGAACAAAATTCAATATAAGTCTGGCAACCGTATAATTTAATTGCCACGTTATTATTTCGTATTGAAAATTTATACATCTTCCACACGCCAGAAGCACAGATAACCTTTGGAAGCAAAGGCTCAGAAAACGCAGGTACATAGGAATAGACGAGACCGCCAAGAAAATTTTATAAAATTTTAGAAATTAATTCTGAATTAGCAGTTGCATACGATTGGCTCCATAATCCGTTCAATAGCTAGTTGAAACATCATGAAGTAGCCAAATTCATCTCAAGATCAATTTGTGTCCAGCTTAATACCAATTAGTTGCGCTTTGTCTGTTTGACCTTAGTATGTTAGAGGTATGCACATGTAATTCACTTGAATTAGATAGTTATCAATTAGGTATTTTATGTTATGCTGTAGGGTGCTTGGAAACAATTCCTAGCCATAATTATCGGTTCAATTACCTCTAATAAACCTGTTAGGTACGATTCGCAAATTGGCTGATGTCTGTTCCAATTAACACCTACAACCCCCTCTGATGTTCAGTTTCATGTTACCAAATGCGTTAATTACAGGGCCTTACCACTGATTTCCAAAAATGTCTTTTTGACTTTCGGCGGGTGCGTGGCCACTTGGCATTCATACATTCCCTCATCTCGCCTTGTAACATAAGAAATCTGAAGTCTGTAATTATTCGGATATCTAAATGCCAAATGAAATCTTTCATCTTTGCTATGGGTGTTCCGTCCCACAGTCAGAATGTTGATGTTCTCATTTCGTCTTTGTGTCCATGTCACCTGGAAAGAAATATTTTAATTAGTTATACATTTCCAGCTAAGCACTTATTCAATTTCCAAATCCTGACCTACATAATATTGGGCAAACGAGTCTGAGGAATATAATAAAACATGCATCAAATCGCAGAGAACTTATTCAATTTTTTGCCAATAAAACATATTTTTTTAACGATCTGGACCTGCCTTTGACTTGTCAACAAGTTATGTGATTGAATATTATTCGAAATATGGGCTTGCTTGATTGGGTAATAATATTTTAAGTAACATAAAAGGTCTAAATGAATTGGTCGCATTGGACGACAATAAATATATCATAAAAATTTCTCCACTTGACCGATGAAGACCATAAAACTAAGTTTATAGAATGTACTAATAGGACCCATATAATTTTACGAGCCAACCTCAATTTTGACTAATTGGATTTTGAAGTTCATCGGGACTTTAAGATAAATGACCGAGAACTTTCTTGAGAAATAAAAACGTGCCCTGGTAAAGCCAAAAAACTGCTCTATTTAGTTTGATACTAAAGCTTATAAACTTGATGGATTACCGTTAAAGTATCCAGCAAAATTCCTGTTAATTTACTTTTAATCGCAACATCTCAAAGTATATTGAAGCTCCCGTTTAATATTTTATTCTATAGAATATTGGCTCTGGGGTTCTATACGTAAACAAATATTTGATGTCGTGTTTAATAAAAACAGTGTAATTTTCTAAGTTTTGTGTGTTTGATTACGTGAAAAATCTTAATTTTTCTTTAATTTAGTTGAATCTTTGTCCGAGAAAAGCATTTAATTAGTTACAACGACACGTCAGTAAATTTAAGTTCAGTTTGAACGACGCCAAATGGCCAATTTAGTTAAAGTGTTAAGCCAATTAGTAAATTACAATCCAGATAATTTATAATCAATTTTCCAATTTTTATTCCGCTTATAAAAGAACAATTGGGGTTTAATGAAGGAAATAAAAACTCTATTTTTGTAAAAAGGTATAAACGCGAAGGGCGACAGACACATTTTAATTGAGTCGTCATTAGGACCGGTTTTATACTTAATGTATTTTATAGGTCATTCTTTACGACTTGAAGCTGTGGAATTGGTCTTTCTAAGGAAATAACATTTCAGTCACCTTCGAAGATTGCGATAGCAGGAAACGGCTTAAGCTTACAGTATTTGGCAACACTTAATTTCTTCATAATAAACACATTTAAGGGAATCGCCTCTTGTTAATAAGTATTTAAAATTAGAAAAGTAAAAAAAAGCTTTAAATCTTAAATTTTCTGCGGAGGCGTTTATGTTTATCAAGAATACCCACTACCTCTAAGAGACACAGCAGAACACTTTCTGTGTTTTTGCTTCCTTTCCATGAGCTATGAAAGCTCTTAGGTTTTGAGCTCTATTCAATTTTCATTTCCACAAAGGCTGAAAGAACGCTTAAGAGCATTATATCTCTGTTAAATTTTTACCCGCAAAACTCGTTTTACATAACTTTGAATGCTTTATTTCAAAGCAGGATGAAATTTCATAGAGCCACCACTAAAAACTTTTAGTTAATGCATCGTAAGCAGATTCCGAAAACCTATTGGAAACTCGAGATATGGAAAATATCAGGAATGGACGACATATTTTCTTATAAATAATCTTTCGTAGTAAAACTGAATCGAGTTACTATCGATGTTCATGGGATAAGATCCAAGTTGAAATCTTTTACTATCAAAAAGACACGAAAGGGATTATTTTATCTCAGAAACTTCCTAAAAATATCAAATGAAATCCGTTCTGAAACCTACATCTAGATAAAAAAAACACACAGAACTTGTGGGGTTGTGAACACTTTAACGAGCTTTAAACACGAGAATAGGTGAATATAAATGAAATATTCTGTTCTCGTAATAGGGCATAGATAGAGGACGCAGTAAAATATATGGCAGAAACTATATGAGAAAGCAATTTTCAGTTATTCTTGAACAGTCTACGTGTATGTTCACAGATTTGCAAAATGGAACTTTGAATATATGTATGAAGGCGAATTTATTTGTTTCGAACTTGGAAAAATAAATAACAGATTGTATTGGACCTGCAAAATATGCACAGTTTCGAGTTAATTTTTTGCCAAGTTATGGCAAATGTAGATGGATAATACAAAAGTTACGCTTTGCCCTGGCTAAATTTAAATATTGATTCTCATAGATGTGTAAGTAAAGTATACAACAATACTTCAATGGTTCAAAAATTCCCTCTATTTCTCGCTTCGGAATCAGAATATTGTTTGAAAGCGACTTGGTAAAAAGTTCTAAATCCACTGAAGGCATGTTTGAAGTATTTGCCCTCCTTCGTTTTTGTCACATTATGTAGCGTTAATTTTGAAGCTGGATTTTTTAGTGGATTTTGTCAGAAGCCTTGCTGGAACCCGTAAAAGAATGATTTCAAAGCTGAAAAACTAAAAGACACTATTGAATAGTAGTTATAATAAGATTTAAAAAATTCACTACCACTCAGTCTAGCTGTAAATTTAATTTAATCATGCTAACTAAAACTGGCAATTCTTGAATGTAACGCGAAGTAGAAAGCCATTACTTTTAACCGTTAAATTTACGTTCGGTGTTACACTTTCTGCTTAAGATCAGTAAATTTTTAATTTCAATTTACCTTTAAAAATGAGATTTACGGTTAAATTAATCAACTTATCTTTTTCAAATACAATTTTAACTGGACTCGGTTAATTGCGACACACTACGGGGAATTTGCGGAATATTCAATTATAAATGGTATGTTTTCAAAAGAGAAGGACTTTCTACTCTGTAGTTCAGTTAAATAAATTATTATTTTATTTCACTCCAAAGGCATACAAAGCAGTGACGACCGACAGGACCTAATATTTTTATAAAATGCTGAAATGACTTCATTATACATCAAACAATATTGTGCTGAGGGAATCAAAGAACGAGATTTTATTTATGCATGTGAGTATTTTTTTTCAACCATAGCCGCAATATTTCATATAGCTGTTCAATTCATTCAGAACTTTAATCTGGACCTATGAAACGTTCTAATACAGCAAGAAACTTCTTTTTGACACAGCTTTCAAATTTTTATATACTTTTCTAAATGTGGTTAATTTATAATTATTTTAGTTTTCATTTAAGCTTGTCTTATGTGTTTCCGAATATGAAGCGAAGTGAAGCTATCTTATCAGGTGGCTCCCCTTTGAAGTTGGCAGCTAAACTCAAACACTTTAATGAAAAAAAAATTGCGCCCTATATGGGACACCCATTACTTTACATGGAAACTACGTTTTCCATATAAAAGGAGCTTTTTCTTTACCTGCTTCTTGATGATTTTCTTTCTAAAGGTTACTACCTCACATAAAAAAATTTGAGTTGCTTTAATAAAAAAAATTTTTTAGCTGACAAATCTTTTTATTTTAATATATATATTTTATTATTATAATTATAAGTCTATTCACTAAATCATCAGGTTTGATTGATAATAATTTCAAACAGACTTTATTGAAACACAGCTTATCTGTTCCTTTATATATGACTGTCCAAAATACGGTTTTATTTAACTCATTAATTAAAGGTAAGCTGTTGCTTTTATGCGCCAAATGAAAATTTAGGGAGTGATTAAAAGTCCTGTAGGCAATTAATGACTCAACGCTTAAAGGAAATTGGAAATTTTGGCTGTTCCTGAATAGACCTACATTTTTTTTAAGTTTGATATTTATCTGAGGTTTAAAATTATTTACGATTTTGCTAGAGCAAACCTAATTTAAAGGTTTAATTAAAGATAATGATATTTAAAAATACAATATCCTCAATTATGGGAATCTTACTGAAATTGGATTTGGCATTCGTGTGGATTTCCGAAACTCGTTTGGATAATGACGCCAACATATGGGAGCTCTATTAACACATATTGATAGATTAAATTCCGTTGAGTTGACAGCAAACTAACTTGAGATCACGATTACATTTGAAAGGGGTGAACATTAGACTTAACGCAAACTCTAGGAAGAATTAGAGACATGTGGTGAATTGTTATTGTTGAGTAACTAAAACAAATACCGTGCAGTCATTTAAAAAATATTGCTGTATTCTCATGTGAAGTTTTAGTTAGATTTTAATTAAGTCGGATTAAAGCTGAACCACATACAACAGGCAACATGAAAGCAGATGGAAAATTGCGCACCCAAAAATTCACGGCCGGAAGTAGGAATTAGGGTCGGGGAATAATTGTTTTATGCATGTTTGCGATAAACTTCAACCCTTTAAATTATTTTACAACAATTATAATGGCTGATCTCATTAATTGTTTTGCCCACGGATTTAATATGATTGGAATCATTAAGTTGTCTTGAACACCGGTGAGGGAGGTAAAGTTTTTCTGCTGATTTATATGTGTTAAAGTTTCTGGAAATGCCTTGGTTTTTGGTTCATGATTATTAGAACTTAGAATGTGTTAATAGAGGTTTCATTCAAGATTTTTTTGCAGGGATTCAAGAATGGATTTTCTTTTAAGATTACGATACGACAATTACTGCTTGAAAAAGGGCATAAAGGAAAGGCGGCGAACAGAGATGATTATTATACTTTTAAATCGTTCTGCGCTGTCGGCGGATCGCATTTAGAATTACCTCAACTTATCTAAGTGATATTCATTATCTCTTGCAATAAGAGCCGGCACAAAAAAAGCTAAGGGAAAAATGTAAATTTATGTATTTATATCTTTTAGGTGATCCGGGTGAACATCATTTGATGAAGGGCTGTACTATAAACGGTTGGTATAGTCTTAGGTATTTTAACTTTGAAGTGTTTTGAAGTTCGCTTCTCAATTTGCCGCGTGGAAAACTATGGATTTGGGTTATCCGGACGATAATTCCATTATTGTAATTAAGCAACGAATGTCTGTTGGAATGAAATCTCCAATAACAAACACATTCGAATGGGTTCAATTGTAATCAATATCATTAACATTCTCTAGAATTACCAAAATGAAATCCCATGGACATTTAACTGAAATTCGGTTTTCGCATAAATCGTTTGCATCGCTGTGGCAAAGTGCCGCTTTATCTATTAGTACAGGGGGTTGCAAAAAAGTTTACATTTTCCGCCAAAGATAAAAGTTTTCGGCCGGGCACAATAATGTTAAAAACGCAAATGGAACAAAGTTTTGACAGGCGCGTTTGAAACTTTGAACTGGAAAACAAAAGTTTTATATTCAGTGGTATCACTCGTACTTTTACCTTTGGATTACAGCGCTTTAACAAGCAAACCAATAATGCTTTGAAACCGGTGGAACAGAATTTTTGCATTAAGTTAAACTTAACAGAACATTGCTTGAGCCATTGCTTGCAACTGGTAAGTTTTTGGCTATTTTCAAGCATTGGCCGTAAATGTAGAACTTTATGTGTTTCCTTAGGTAGAAAAATTTCACTAGTAAGTTTAATTTCGATATCAATTCAAAAGAGTCCAGGACAAGGGCGGAT